ACCACCGGATGAAAAAGCACTGAAGCGGGAATTGATTGGACTGACGATGTATGTCGCCATGTTGTGGCAAAGTTGTTCCTTGAAGAGAAGGGGATCGTTGTGAAGGACAACATCCTCATGCAGGACAACAAAAGCACGATCATTTTTGCAGAGAATGGCAAAGGCAGTTCGGGCAAAAGACTCGGGCTATCAACATTCTTTCTTTTTTATTCATGACCAGATTGGAAAGGCACCTTAGAGTTGTGTACTGCCCAACCTTGGAGATGCGTGGAGATTTTTTCACAAAGCCCTTCAGGGCAAGCTCTTACGAGCACAGGGCTTTCACATGGGGCATCCACCCTTGTTTGATTGCCTAATTTATTTTATTCGTTCCACGGTAGCCACTTAGGGCACCGTGCAGGAGTGTGTTGGAGGAAACATACCTGACACCTCTTTACTATTGACTCGTGTGTTAATCATCTAGTCCGGTTCGCATGTAAATTCATCATGCAAGGAAACCAAGGGAGTTTTAGGTCTAAAGTGCTACGGGGGTCCTTATATCCAATTCAATCACAAGAATTGCTATGCACCACCAGAAAATCCTCACTTTTGCTTTTCAGCTTAATCCAAAACCAAATTACTCCCCAATAAGCTGCAGTATTACTAGCTAACATACGGTACCATGGCTGGCTACAATGGCTGGATTGCATGTATTCGTCATATGGATCCAAGTAGCGAGCAAACTGAGGAAACAGGAGACGAACGCTGAAAAAAAGCCGAATTTAGGGTTAAAGTTACATCTTAATCTGAATGTTTGCATAAAATTGATAATTTACCGCAGCTACCCAAACTCCAAAGTTGTCTTCAGGCTCACCAGTAATTACAGCCAGCTACACTACTAGTAGTAGGTCTAGCTAGCTAGCTAGATGGTTCTAGCACAGCGTGAGCTTTTTCCTCTACTAGAATGGCTTTTGCTTCCTTAGTGGATTTGCCCTCGTAAACTTTGGCTTTGAGGGCATCATTAGCCCGACTGGATTGTGGGTGGACTACCGGTAGGTGCTTGTATCTGCCGTTGTGTTTTTCCAGCCACTCCAAGTCCTCTTCGTGTATGGTTAGCTAGCTAGCTAGAGGGGATTTTGGACTACTTATTACTTCCGCACACTTTCAGTTATGATCGTGATTCATCCTACTTCTAAAGAAAAGATCTTCCTCTCGCTGCTGCTTCTCAGCTTCCTTCTCTTCGTGAGCAGCCAGCAGTCCTCGCATTTGCCGTTTCCGTCAGCTTCATTCACTACATTTGTAGATTTATCGTTACTTCTGGATGCCCCTTGATTGCACACGTGCATGTTGTGAAGTCGTCTGCAAAATACAAAACGCATTTATGGGGTTCCAGGCTGGCTCCTCTTCCATTCTTGGCGGAGCGGCAGTCAACAACGTAGTACTCCTTCATTTCTACTTTCCGGTATTTGCCTTTGTTACCCTTTGAATCCTGGACTTTCTTGAAGCGACCCATGTGTTCTCCTATGCCATCACATTGTCGAACCATTTCAATGCACCACTTCATCTGACCATTGACATAAAAATCCAACTCACCAGTCACAGGCTTGGCGTTGGGATCCTGAGAGTCGACAGCAATGGTACCGAATTCCGGCGTAATTGAATGTCTGGCTGGTAGTTTCATAGACATTGCCTCGTTCATAAGCTGTTGAAAGGCTGCTTCCTTTGGAAACCTCCCATTCTGGACAGCCTGCCGCAGCCTCGTTGCCGACATTGTTTCGATGGACTCAATGATTAATTCTCGGAGCGTCTTGGGAGCATCCAGGGGGCGGTTGGGGAAGCACTGCCGGTTGTAGTACCAGTTTGCTGCGAAACACGCGAATTTTCCATCACCGTTCAAGATACCAGCTCGGATTAAAGGGAAGATGGGTGAAGCAGAATAGTTTTCCGAACCTGGTTTCTGAACCAGGGCCATTTGCAAGTACATCTTCATTTCCTTTGTCAGCTCATTAATGTCAAATCCATAACACCTGTCGAGTAATGTCGTGAAGTAATGTGTTCGCAGATGATCAAGTGCCTCGTCTTCCGAAAGTTTTTTTTCTTCGCGCGCTTGTTTTCTACGGCTCGGATAGCGGCCATGATCACTCCGATATGATACTTTTGTTCGATTTCCCCGTCGTCGTCGTCGCTTTCCTCGTCGCTTTCCTCTTCCAGCGGCCAGATCCTGCTAAGTGTAAGAACCTGGTCTTTAAACCGCTCCCACTTGCCATAATCATACCCATGCTTTGCTTGCCAATGCTCTAGATGGACGGATATCCAATCGTTTGCTTCCTCTTCGTTGATGTTTGGATTAACGTGCTTCAATGTCCCAAAATGCACGGGCGACACGGGCAATCACCACAAACAGGCCTTTTGAAGAAGCGGCGCTACCGTCCTTCACAACAATCTCCCAAAATTTGTTGAATTTCTTATCATAGGCGTTCTGAGCATCGTCAATGAGCAACCATGTATTCTTCAATTTCTTCAAAGCATTTCTATCCTTGGTGATTCCTTTATCGGCAAGATCCTTGATAAGCTCCACCGGATCATCGGATCGAATGGGATATCGGATCACGTTAGCTTCCTTCAGTTCAAGAGAGTTATGAAGGAGCTCCAACAGTGAGGTTTTGCCTGTGGACGGTGGAGATCCCAGGACGACAAAGCTGCTTTTCTTGGCATATTTGTAAATGCGCTGCAGGGTGGCCACTCGCGGCAAGTGCCTTTTGTCAAGGTGTATCCCATCCGGTTTCCGGGTAGGCGACGGCGCTGTGCTTTTCGCCGATGAGGCGACGGGGGATTTCAGCAGGGACATGCATATGGTGGCCATGGAAGCGCAAGTCTTGCGCTGCTGCTCGTCTTTCGATGAATGTTACTAGCTAGCTAGTACGGCTGTTTGGAGGCAGGCGAAGAGCGGAAAAGAGCATGGCGATGCTTCGCGCGAGGCACTCCACCTCGGGCGTTTTCTTTGGGATAATAGACATTGAATCGTGCAGTCCAAGAACGGGCTTGGGGACTTCTCCCAGAAAGGACACGTCCTGGCCTCACAAGTACAGTAATTTCCAGAAAGCTAGACTACACTGAAGTAGCAGCAAAAAGACGATGAATAATTTCTTTTGCTTATTACAAGCAAGCAGCCAAACTGGTTCTAGCCAGAGCAAATCTTCGTGCTTGACATCAAGCACGAAAGCCCCAAATGTTACGGCTGGCTGGTGGCTGGTGCCATCAAGTGGCACCAACAAGATAACTGCGGTAGCTACTGTACGATGTATGAGACTCTAGCTAGGCGCAAACTAGGCGCAAGCGTCTCGATGATCCAAGTCCACCTGTGTAAGGCTCCGATAGCAGAAGGACAACCAATACTCTGTTGAGCAACAATCCCCACAAAAAACACTGGCCATCACAGTCCTCGGGTAAGTACGGTACGAGCCCTGGTGCCATGGAAGAAATCCCAACGTCGAAGGTGCACGGCCGCGACCGTTTTTACATGTGGACTAGCTTTACTCGCGTGTACAAGTAGTTTGCATTCCTGTTTTCTGAACAAAGACATTTAGGGTAGATTAGGTAAATATGGGGCTAAAGTTGCATAATGTTACCGCATCTACCTGAAGTGTCCTGAGTGACGGTCAGTCTTCCTGTTCGTCGCAGGTGGTCACCCGGTCCCCCAAGACCCCCCGCACTGAATTCTGAATTCGCTGCATGCAACCACCAACAGCACCGCATGGGATCATTCTCGTTGTTCTGCAACACCACAAAAGCAATCTCATGCGTGTCATCCCAGACTTGTGTCGTCTCTCTCCTCCCACAACCGGCCACAACAACAAACAACAGCAAACTCGATCAGCAGCAAAGAACAGCATAAACAATGAGTTGGCTCAACGACTTGATGCAATCAATGAGCAACCTGAAGATGGACGATCGTCAAGTCCATTATCGAATTCTCAACGAGCTTTCAGAACCTATTAAAATCCAAATCTTCAATGAAGACCCTGACGACCTTCAAGATGAAGAGGATGAAGAAGACGATCAGGAAAATGATAATGATGATGAAGATCTTTTTAATGGTTATGCGCCACTGACACGCGAGCAAATACCGCCGGGCCAAGAGTGGACCTACAAGAAGCAGTGCGCCTGTGGTGACTGCTGCGTGGGAACGATCAAGGTGGACACTGCCAACGACAGAATGTTCTTGGTAGATGCCAACGAAACATCGTCGAATAAGAAAATCACACGCCAAGTAATGACAACAATCTGCAGTGATAACGAGACGGTAGGTGAACAAAGCTGCCAGAGCCTGGATTGTGACGAGCAACAACAAAGAGAGGAGGACTCTGAACAACAAAGACCCTTGGTCGTCAACTTGACCCTCGAAGTGAAAGTGGATGATTCTCCAAAAATAGACAAAGAAGATCCCTTGATTGTCAACCTGATCCTCAAAGCAGTCCCTGCTTCAGCTACATCTACTGAAAAAGAAATATCCCGCGATTGTCTCAGCCCTACTTCCGTAAACGGCATGCTCCAACGACTGCAAGATATCGAAACCATGATCGCCATAGGCCACGAAGTCCCAGATTCGCTGGATGAGCAGATATCGGAGCGATCCAAGCTTTCTCAGTTCTCCGAACGGTCAAAGCTTTCTTCGCTGTCGGAGCGATCCAAGCTTTCTCATGTATGATCCGAGCATCGAAGGTATCCCCTGTTTGGAGCCGCAGGCTGTGCATAGGGGCATGCCAGAGCTATGAGGACAGCATGCAAAATACGGGGACAGCTGAAACACGCAAAGCCAAACCCAGCGCGTAGACGACAAGATCGGGCACGAGACAAACAGTACATGTACCATAAAACAACATCAGTGTAAAATTACTTTCCAATCTGTACATGGGTTTTGTGTCGTGATGAAGATGGTTTATTTTTTAAAATAAAACAATGTCCTGGATAGCGCAAGAGTAGAATCAGCAATCCGTTGCTGACCTAGCTGGTACATGTAATGGCTTGGCGCTAAACGGTCGATTTATGCTTGCGAAAGACCACTACATGCGGAGAGTACTACGCGAAATGCATCTCTCGGCCTTCTGTTCTGGTTCTCACCGTCGCTACGAGGGACATTGAGCCAACGTTCAATGCTCGTCACTTCCGTTACATGCATTCTCGCAAAGCAATACAGGAGATCAATCGATCGGTTGGGTACCTACTAAGTACCGGCATATTCATCCAACAAGGAGAATAATTTTAAAAGATTAATTCGTAGTACAACAGACGACATCACATCAACGGCCAACCAGGCAGCCTCCGCGTTGCAAAAACGTCGAGCAGAGCCAGCCCAGACTGGGCTCGACAAGAGCAAAACTACGACAACGAAATGTCTTTTTTGTTTTGTTTTTGCCAGAGGAAACTGCTGCACCGCTTCGAAGTTGACATTAACCCATGGATAGCTTCTGTAACCTACCGGTATGCATACATATAGCCAGCCTAGCAAAAGCAACGCGGTGCTCACCCTTGCAACTTGCAATGTGAGATTCATAGTCATGTACATGGTAGCGGTACATGAACCAGGTACAGGTCGTACCGAGGATCGACCGGTGCGATCGTGTTCCAAACTGTGACTGCCTTCCCTGGAACGGTGACTGGAGTCAGTTTGGTCGGACTAAAAGAGCGATGTACGTATAATTTGAAGCAAAAGGATTTAACGTATGGGTCTCTTGAAATCGAATCCATTCTATTCCTTGCGGATCCAACATATCATACACGACATCTAGTCTAGCTAGCTGGCTGATCTCCCTCTGAACTCACTTTTGCTCTCATAAAATCAACAGCAACACCACACGAAGCAGAAAACAAAAAGCAATCTTTCTCATCTCACTCACCATGTCATCATACTTGGAATTGAAAATTGAGTATCAGCCACAACACCACAGGTATGACCTGGACCAGTACATGCAGAATTTGATCTTGACCTTTCCTAGGGATCAAGTACCTATCCTGTTCGATGGAAGGGTGCCCCTTTCAGTATGGCAAGATACCTACGACCAGTTACTTGCGAAGTATCGAGCAGCATTGGAGGTCATCTCAAAGCTTACCCCACAAGGCAAAACGCGCTTTCTCATTCTGATTCCTTGCCTGGTGCCAGTCTTTTTGCCAATCCTTTGTTGGCGTTCTCATAAGCTGGCCAACAAAGCTAAGGAGCACGAACAAGCCTTTGTACAGTTCTGTCAGGACCAAGCGGCAATTTATCGACCCTACGGAGTTCAGGTGACTCTTGCAAAGGAACTAATCAGTCATGGTTTCGGAAGCGATCGGCACATGGAAAACGAAGTTGTGGGGCTGCGCTTTGATGTTGTTGCCGCAGCGACCACCACAGGGATGCCAACTTGGCAAGCACCAACCTCGCAGGCCCAAGGCTATGTTCCTCCTTTTATTTTTCGTTCTTAGAAGGCAGATGAGCAGTCTTCAATGAACGGTGGAGGAGAGAAATAGTACCGTACCGGAACCATACCGGTAGCCCAACTTGATTACGAAGTACTAGTACTAGTACAGTCGTATCTTGGGGGGCACGTGGGACCTGAAATTAAATTGAAGAGAGGTCATAGAAGTTTCTAGCTAAGGCTGTTGCTAAGGCTGTGGGCTGCAGGCAGCAGGCTGCAGACTAAAGCTAGACTACCGTATCTAAAGAATGAATCCCGGATGAGAGCTTCCAGGAGGATCTGTGTTTCCTAGCTTGCTGCCGTGAGCGACTCGAGATTGCCATTTCATCCCTGCTCGTACAGTAGAAGGTGAGCGAATATTGCCACGATTAGTAATTACCTCTTTACTAGCGGTAGCAGCTAGTAGGAGCAAATAGGTGCGGTACTAATACGCTTTGCTCCGAGTGGTTGGCTCGCTGCAGACTGTCCCATGCATGCCTCAATGAAGCGGCTGAGCAGCCACGGAGAGAGACATCTACACCCAGGATCCAAATTGCCTTCCCCCTTCACTCCTTTCGAAAGCTGCGGGTAAAGACGACAAGGATCATGCCCAATCTGGAGGTTTCTGAGATCGGTGAAGGTACTGGAAACTGGAGATGAGCTGATCCTGAGGTGCGTGATTGTCGGCTCAAGAAATCTCAATAAACAAAACCAAAGATGTGATACGATTACCCACCTAATCTTACGAGGGGGGCGTCTCAGTTTTAAGCAAGGAGCTACACTATCGCCCTACTTCTTGTCCTGGGGCTGCACGTACCGGTATGCCCTCAATGGAATGAATAGAGAGAAGCTTGTGTGTGATCTACTCCGAGCAATCGTTTCAGCAATCGTTTCAGCAATCGTGGCTTGAGGCCGATCATCACAAGTCGCACGAACACTCCGAGTTACGTGGTCAAAGTAAAGTAAGCAAGCATGGTGAACTTAGACTACTTATTACTTCCGTCTAAAGGAAGCAAGAGCTGTATTGCGCACGGTACTGGTACCAGTACCACGGTTCCACAGTTCCACAGCCGAGCTAAAAGCCGTACCGTACCGCCACAACCTACTCGAGTGAATGATAACTTATAAGAGTTCTCTATGCGTCATCGTATCAATCAAAACGCAATTTATGCGCTGCTATGACTGCTTGGGCTATCAAGGAAGCCTTGCGAACTTTGCGAAGGGAGAAAGAGCAACGAAAGCAAGAATTGAACACCCAGTGTCCAAGCAATCTACGATTCCAATTCAACATGGGCACCGGCGGCGACTGCCTGGGAGCTTCACCGGTACAAGCCTCTGGAATTCACAAAAGCAAAATTACAAATATTACAATACTAATACAGTTAATCACGTTGAATGCTTGATTTGGCGATAAATCAAAAGGATTATTTTCAAACTCATCTCTTTTGATGCACTGGTTACGAATACTGGAAGCTGCTGGTAAAAACTTGGTGACCACTGCCCACAGCCTGGGTATATAGGCGGCGCGAGCGTCCCCGGCCGGCCAGAAGCCATTCGAGCTGGGATATGGGGCCCAGTGAGAGTCCAAAAGCAAAACAACGCAAATAACAAATTCGACTCACCAGGAGCTAAAAAGTAAACTAACAAATAACGAAAGGCAATGAGGTGAGAGGCGCATATGGAATTTGCGTACAACCAGTGCAGGGATGGATCAAGCTTGTAGCCCTCCTCAACATCTATATGAGCGGGAAGTCAGTAGCTGCCTTGGTTGTAGAGTAGTGCGCGTAAAACAATAAGGTGCTTTCTGGTACTGTAGAAAATTGTATGGGGCATCTAACTGCTGTTTGGAAGGCCTCAAAAAGAGTGGAATAAAGGTGCTGCTAGAACGTCGCAGCTGCAAGGCTTGGTGCAAACCGATTGAGAGTTAAGCAGTGTATACCTACTCCAGCTATCTGTAGCTGCTCAAGCTGGGGGGTGAACTGTGTATTGCAATATCCAATTGCAAAACGTTGTTTTTGTTGATGTTGGCAGTCGTTATTTTACTGTTGTACTGGACTTTAAATAAATTTTTTTAAAATAAAAATGCAAAAATGAATTCATTTTAATGTAAAAATATGATGTTTTTGACATTTTTACCAACATATTTATATAGCTACATTGCACGACAACATCACGCGACTCTATTACAAAATTTATTGATAATTCTAACACATAAGAACATAGTTCTAACACATCAGATCACAGCTCTGACCACAAAATATAGTTCTAATCGTGAAAATGTAGCTCTATTCGCGAAAAATGTAACTCTAAGCAATGATGTATACTTCTATCACCAAAAAATATAGCTTGGAAGCTAAATTGCATGGCATAATACAGACAAGGTTCCACGTATGACACGACATTAAATGCATTTCAAATGACAACAAAAAGCTAACATACATTGGAATAGTTCTGTGACGCGTCTCACAGCACAGAAATCTTACACAGTTCTAATATGTTAAACAACAAATCTAAAACACATGTAATGTAGTCCTAACACACAAACGCAAAAATGTAGTAGACTCTTTAATGTACCAAACTGACTCAGAAACTCTGACAGCATGCGAAAATTAGTTCTATTACACTCCTTGACACCAAAGCAAAATTGCACAATGATATAGTACTTCCAAAGCTAAAACGCGCGAAAGTCTAGCTCTCTCACTCGTGTAATATCATAACAAAGATAATGTATTTCAAATGATAATAAAGCTACTAAAACACGAGAATAGTTCTCTCACATGTGTACTAGAAGAGACTCACTAGAATACAACAAAAAAGCTAAAATACTCATCAGAATGTATTAGTCAAAACTGACATGCGAGAGCGGCACTCTAATACTACACAAGGAAGCTACTCTAAAAACCAACATGTAGCTCTGTCATGATATAGACACAACTAAAACGCGAGAAAAAGTATTTTTTCATGATCTAATACACAGCATATGAGAAAGTAGCTCTGCAACGCGTGTGTGTGACATTTAGAAAGAGAACTGAAATTTGCATAAAGACAATTAAAATGCACAAGAATATAATTCTAACATGCAAGAAGAATGTAGCTGAACACACGAAAATGTAAGACATAGCTCAAATGCGCGAAAACAAGCAAAAATTCAGCTCTAAAACACAAAAGTCTAGCTCTAATATGAAAAATGTAATTCTATCAGCGACATTGAAGTCGGTTTGCATTACATAATACAGCAATCTAAAATATGCAAGAATATAGCTCTTGCTCTTGCACAAGTGTGATACGACAACAAATGTATTTCACAAGACAATAAAGCAAAAATAGCGACGAGAATATATTTCTCTTACGTGTGTGCCAAAAAGAGATTTCGCTGACATAGAATTTTTGCTTAACAACAAAGTTGAAATATGAGAGTATGAATTTCAAAAATATAAGAGTCGAGCTGTAACAAGCAGAATCTAACTCAAACACGCGAAAATCTAACTCAACGCGCGAGAATCTAGCTTAAACACGCGAGAATCTAGCTCTCATACATAAGAATATAGCTACCTGTATTATGCGACAATGAGCTGCATGACATACGAATACAACTATATTACGCGAATTTAAGATAACTTTGCAATTCCAATATGACATCAAAATTACATTCGTGATAAAGTTACGCTGTGTGGCTAATTAGCAACATTACGCGAAATTTTGCACGAAATTTTACACGAAATTTTGCACGACATTTTGGCACGACATTTTTGCACGACATTTTGCACGACATTTTGCACGACATTTTGCACGACATTTTTGCACGACATTTTTGCACGACATTTTTCGACTTTTTACGCGACTTGTTGACCGACTTTACGCGACTTGTTTACGCGACTTGTTTACACGACTTGTTTACATGACATTGTTGCACGACGTTTTTGCATGACGTTTAAGAGAATACTCACAATGATGTATTTCATTAATTTAATTAGACAACTTAGCCAGTGGGTATTGGGGTCCCCTTTGGTGTATACCCACTGGCGACATGAATGATTTTAATAGATCATTAAATTGTTTTTTAGTTTCTCAATTAAAAATAATTAAAAATAGAGCAAAATTAAAGGATTTATCCTTTTTTATTTTAGATATATTTTAATATTTGTGAATAATATTAGTTTGTAGAAAAACTTGTGTATATAACAGAAAAATATTTTAATATTACATAAATTAATTGTATTATTATAATCTATTTATTTTATATATTTATATATTTGTTACTTTTACTAGTTTAATTAGTTTTATTGCCAATAATTACTGAATCATTGTTAAAAAACAGATAACTTGCAGCTGTTTTCTGAAGCCACACTTTAGATTATAGGAATTGCATTTGAGTCTGACATTGTTTTGGATTCGGGCACTGTTAAAATAGACAATGGTTGTAGCAGAGCTAGTAGCAGTGCTGATGATGGCAGCAACGAGGATGGGTCAATCACGAGGCGACCCATGTCCCTTAACTTCATATGTTGACTTTTATTAATATTTCCCTGGCTGGTGGGGTCAATCTCTCTGCCCCATGTTATCAGTTTAGGGCACCCGGTAGCAGCACAGTAGACAAGTGGTCCGCCAAATTGATTCTATTCAAAAATTGCATACGGTACGTGTTCCCTGTTTTCTTGTGTTCCCGCGCGTCCTTGGTCGAGTATGTCCGAGAACCGAGAACTGCACACTGCACAGACCCCTCCTGCCTGCCTCCTGCCATCCATCATGTTCGCCACCGACACTGAATACCCGCCGGTACACAACAAAAATACATCAGCCCAGTTAGTCTAGTCTCTTGGCGTTGAATGCCTCCAAGAGCTCACAAATCTCAATTTACATCACCAACAACCAACAAAAGTCAACATGATCCCGACTGCTAACTCCCCCTCTGCTGTTAACGACAAGCGCAAGCGCTTGTTGCTCCGAAAAGAAGCCATGTTTCGTCGTGCCAACTCTCTGGACTCTTTGTGCTCTATGTGGGGATGTGAACAATCCTCCCCACCATCATCTCCCACAACACGAAGATCTACTCGCCGCAAACCGGCGCGTATCTCTCGAGTTGTCAGCGAATCTGATGCCACACCTTTGCTGTCAGAGCAACAACAACGATGGGAAACCGCTCAGCCCAACACTGACCAGGCCCCACGCATCAAGAAAGCCGACAGACCTCCCACATCTCCCAATAGAAGCTCCCGCACCAAACGCAGCCGCAGCAAGGCAGCTTCACTCTCTCCTCCTCCCCGACCGTGCAATAGTCAAACCAGAGAGAATGCCCACCAACGTCCCCGTCCCAAGTATTGCCGTTGGAACAGCGACAAGTCTTTCGACAAGAAGGATTCCATGCCCAGATCGACCTCCCGACCCAGGCAACTCAGTCCAGCTAGGTCTTCGCCAGCGGCGGCAAGATTGACACTCAGCCCTCCCCGAAAGCCCCTCCGACAAATCTCGGATGCACTGTAAGCAAATAGACAATTTTTACTCTTCCCACAAATACTTTCACATTAAAGAACTAGCAGCCAGCTATAGAGCACCGATCATCTCCATTCGGTATGGTACATATCTGCTGGACTTCAGGTGGCGTCGTTTCTGCAGCCAGGGTAGTCTACGTATCCAGAAGACAAGAGGAAGCCGCCCTAAAAGAGAGCACGGTGTAGTCAGGCACCCAAGAGGAAGAAGACGTACCATGTTGGACCAACACCATCAGTTGCAGCAAGCAACCTGGCTTCAGTGGGCTACCGAGAGAAGCTACAACCAGCATCAAGCAAGCAAAAGGCATGGCGACAGGTTCGGTAAGTTGCTAGTACAGAAGTAGCCAGGCTGTGCTTGATCAGTAGCCAAGCCTTGCTGAAACCCCCAGCAAGACGTCGACAACCATGGTGACATACCAGCCAGTTCGAACTTTCAGTCAAGAACCAAGGTCTGCTCAAACAGCTTGGCCTTACGCTGGATAAGGATGTCTTTGACGTGCCTGCCCAGTCATCCTAATAAACCAACGCACCACTTTCGAGTATATGTTGGTGAACGAAAGCTAGCTAAAAATAAAAAAAATAAAAGTCTATTATTAGTAACAGATTCAGACAAGCTGTGCTTGAGGACAACCCACGAGCCGAGGCCCGGGTATTTCCCACAGTCAAGTCCGCTCACCGGCCACACGTGAACGAAAACTAGCTAGAGCAACTCAGCAGGCGCCAACGAGCTAACAGGGTAACCTGGGGTAGTTGGTTTAGCTAAAAACATTTCTGTAAAAGGTGAAAATGACTTTGCCTTTGTCAACCATGGCGGAACCTTGGGCTTAATCCTCGCGTTGACTGATGAAAAAGTGGTCCGGCATTGTTCGTCGTCCGAATCGGGGGCAGTGGCGGCGACAATAGACGGACAAAAAGGCAATTGTCCCCACTTGTTGTTGGAGGAGGAGGAGGAGGATCCTCGTCGTTTGTGAGATGGTGCCTTGTTGCTGGCGGCAGCAGCGGTGGCGGCAGCAATGTACATGATTTGCTGGGTGCACAAGCCAGTGAGGGTGCCTTTTTTTCGCAGCGAGGCTTTCAATAGAGAGAAATCAGAATCACTGAGGTTACTGAGGTAGTCCTTGGCATCTTCTTCGGGTTCGTCGTGCAGACTCGTGCTGGTGCTGCTCCAAGAGAGTCCCATGCGAGTGACAAAGGAAGAGGGAGATTCTGGCTCGAGAGAAAAGTGAGTGTTGGAGGTTTGAGGAACAACAACACTGCCCATGCCATCGGCATGAAGCTTGCGTCCCATGTAGATGACAGTGTGGATCATGATTTTCGAGGCCATTGCCTTGTAGACAGAGGACTGGCTATCCTTGTTGTGTTCTTCGAGGTATTGATGAACCGAACTGGAGGTAGGTAAGTCAAGTGAGCTGGAAGGCATGCTGCTGATCAAATCTCCCCATAGAATCTTCTTGGAGGGCATGGGAGTTGCATGTTCTTCGTCACCGCAGTCATCGTCCTCTTCATCAGCCATGAAGGTATCTTCCATGTTGGCACGGCTGGGTCGAACAAGGCTCTTTTCCACTGCTTTACTAGCCTTGTCCACTGGTTTACTGGTATCATCTTTGTATGAGAGAGGAGACACTTTCTTTTGCCACATTTGACGGTACCGGTATGAGTGGACCAATTCATTGGCGGTTTCCACGTCTTCGGGTTCAAATGCCATGATGGAGCAATCCAGACGAATGCTGTCATCATTCAGGAACGTGTCGTTGCTCTCATTCATGTCGTTGTTGTTGCTCATCAAAATAGAGTCCATTTTGTCTTTTTGTGTGTGTGTTGTGTTGGAGGGTCAAAAGATATGTGGCAAAGTGTGAGCCGAGTATCACACTGTAAGTGGGCTGGGCTGGGAAGGATCGGTCGTGGGTGGCAGCATCTTTCCAGTCTTTAACGGGTGGGGATTGGGGTACAGGTACACGGTACACGGTACATACGGAAAAGGGAAAACGGAACTGCTGGCGCCTTAGTACCGGCGCCTTAGTACCGGCGCGGTAGTTTCCTTTATGTCATAGAGGTTTTGAGACAGCAAGTAAGTCTGCATCGGGCCGAGCCTGTTTGTCCCCCAAAAACATCAGCCTCAACCATCAGCGTTCCTACTAGTAAGTACAATACGGCAACTACTCCTGTTGGATGGATCTAGTTACCGATCGATAGTAACAGGTACCGGTAGACCAATAGAGCACAATCGTAAGGAACTAGTAGTGTAGGGTGGAAAAGCGGATGTCAAAGGGTGTTCTTTAACGACTCGACTCATTGGTGTAGCACGCCAGTAAAGCCATCACAACGTGGCCCGTATTTTGGAAAAGCAGCCAGATGTCAAGTTCCGTTGGAAGCAAGTACTGCCTGGTAAATGTATGTACTACTCGGACGGCGGCCTGTTTGCACCAAAAACAACAACTTGCTCAAAAACCATCAACGTTCCTAAGCACTAAGCAGCCACAACAATACGTTGGCAGTCAGATGTGGCGGAGATATGAGACTTGGATTGATGAGCTGATTGATGGAAGCGCGTTGCTTGGTTCTTTCTCTTCTGTTCTCATGCTTGCTTTGGTCACACTGTTTGCGACCATGGTTTCGAAAGTAGGTGGCGCCGTGCTTTTACAGTTAGATGTGGCGGAAAGATGAGGCTTTGGATCGATAGTAGGCTTTCTCTTCTGTTCTCATGCTGGCTTCACTGGGCTCCCCACTCCCTGGTTGCGATCATGCAGATATTATCGTGCTGTATTGCTTTGCTTGCTTCTTGGAAAAAGAGATGGCCCGTGGTGTTACAAGCTGACCAGTGAAAAGAAGCTTCAACGCTTCAATTTCCATCATAGCAAGAGCTTTTGTACAGTACTTCTCAGAAGCTTTCTCAGAGTGCTTTGGACTTTGGACCTGTCTGAGGTAGAAAAACTACTGTTGCGTACCATGTGCATGGATCGTTGGATCCCTCATCCCTCGAGCCTGAAAACTCGGGGAGAGATTCCAGGGTCGAAATGATTTTGTTTCCCCCCAATTATTTTGGGGGCGTGTCCTGGAATTCTGGAAGCTAGGAACTCCTTGGAGCAGTTAGGAAGAGCAGTGGAACGTGGAACAGGGACACGTACGTGCACTCAGTACTGTATTCCATCCGAGAAGTCAGTAGAAAAGCATTAAAGCATTATTAGATTGCACGTGCTATGACACAACCGACATTTTGGAGGAATGCTCGTGTGCTCCTCTACTCGTACAAAGTACCGGTACATGTAGACTTTTGGTTGTGCTCAAAGGTTCTGTAATCTTCTAAAGGTACCTATACCAGTACCGATATTGGTATCGATCTCGCTGGTTGGCCACCACGTCGACAAGCAGACAAGCAATTCCCAATTCCCAATCATATATACCGCTCCTCTTTCGATTGTGGGTTGGTTCAGCTGTTGGATCCAATCGCAGGGTTCCCCAGCACAGTGGCTTTCAGTAGGACTTCGGTGGGACTTTCCAAATCATCCAGCACCCAGCTGCTCCTCTCCAAGCTGCTCAGGTAGAACTCCTACTGATTATCTAGTAGGATTGCAGTCTTGTCGCGTTGCTTGTTCGGTTGCCGATTAGAGCGATCGGTACCGGTACGTCCGCCCACTAGCTAGTGCACGGCACGCTACCATACAGACAGGTACCAGTAGAGCCACGCAGGGGCTGTGCAAGGTGCAAGCTTCCAGCCAGAAGTCGCGCAACCTTCTCGGATCGCCCAGCAACCGTTCTTGTAGCTCACAAAATTCAAGTTTCTTTTCTGTTGAAACCAAGAGAATCGAATCAGTTTCAGTGACTATTTTGTGTGCAAAGTTACTATCCACCCCACCCCACCACCATCAACCATGATGCACTCCTCAGTCTCATCCCCCCCATGTCCCATTGCGGCAGCGGACGACAAGCTCAACCGTTTGGTCCAACGCAAACGGGGAATGTTTCGACGTGCCAACAGTATTGAATCCCTCTTTGGACAGCTCCAGCAGCACTCTATCAAGTCAAGGCCAAATGCCATTTCACGGGTTGTTTCGGATGGTATGAATGACACATCCAGACGAGATGAATTGATCTCGACTCCTCCATTGCTGATACAGCGATGGGACAGCGGTAGTCAGCACCCTCGTTCCGCAGCTCGCACCAAACAACGCAAGAGCAGAAAGAAGATTGACAGGCCACCGTCGCCTCCATCCTCCTCTGGTTCTCGGCTTGGGGTTATGCGGAATCATGTCCACCAAAAAAGGTCATCCTTGCCTGAAGAGCTGCTGATTCCAGCAGCGCCAATCTCTTCGACTTTGGTTGTGCCAAGCCGCGAGGAGGAGCACCACACACTCAACCATTGCTGCTGCCGCTGGGATAGTGACAGCTCCTTGAACGACACAGAGCCAAAGACCATCAACCGGCCCACAGGAGATGCAAGCCCGGTTACTACAGCAGCACTACGAGAGAGGTTTGCAGCATCAGCTTGATTGCTGTGTTTGCTTGAGTCGTTGGTAGACATCGGGGTGAGCAAAGCGCAAACAAGGAAAGAACAGCTTTAAACTCCAAAAAGTAGATGTATATTTACATGTAATTGTACTTAACAGTGTAAGGTAGCTCCTCTGCGTTTGTATCTTGTGTCCAAGGCGGAGCCCAGCAAGTTGGAGACATCAAAGCGTACAATGCTTCCAGCACTGCAACCCACTTGCAAGATAATGCTTCATTTATTTTGACTGCTAGTTCACGTCCCAACTACAGTACAAGAATGTTGGTTGAACGGTTGCTACACTGCCATTTTTCTCTATTTCCCTCTCTGCTTGTTTTTTAAAATCGTTGTACAGCTACCTCAAATTCCAGTAGTTATTGTCGACTCCATAGGAATGAGCAAAGTGTGGCGCATTGGGATGTACGCATTTGCGGAGCACTGCTGTCAATGTCCCGACATTGGAGTTGAACGTTCCGACGAAGTAGGATGCTTCGAGCAACAAGGACAATTCGGCCAAGAATTGGAGGGTCGCTTCTCGATCCGAATTCGCATATGCCTTGACAGCACCCGTAGTTTGAGGTGGTGTAAGGGTGTGTAGGGTACAGCGTACTTTACGTTTTTGGAGTGCCTCTTGAATTTCTTGGACGGCACGATAATCTCCTGTTGCCACAAAGCACGTTCGAATGGAAGATTTGGTGATATTGCTGTGTTGATTGTTTTCCAGGTTCATGAGGAATCGATCCACGTATGCCATTCCCGAGAAAGCTTTGGATTCCTTCGTATCGGTCTTATCCCCGCGTCGGACATGAAAGGCGACAGAAGGGGTAGCTGTGAGATCGGGTATATTGGCTTGCTGTTTGATCCGTTGTATTTCTGCGTAGGCTTGATCATTAAACTGTAAATTGGCACATGCTTCGGATACCATGCGATGGTAGAGTTTGTTTCCTCCATTTCCGTACGATTTGCGAAAATGCAGTCGAAATTCGGATCTTGTGGTATGGAAAATCATCATGGGGTCATTGTTTTTTCGTTGAACGGCTTTCCCACTGGTGTAGGCATTGGAATATCCCAGTTTCTTGTTGAAGGTGATACCTTCCTTGTAGTTGGGAACGTTCCACACCTTCTCAATGGTAGAATAATCTTGTGCAGTAATGACGGGGAAAGAGGGTCTAAAAAACCCATTCAAGACTCCCGTGGCTTCATCCCATCGATACCCATACAAAGAGTCATCAGCCATAAAGACTCGATCATTATCTTGAGCATAGATCTTCTGGGAAATCATGTAGATGAACTGACTTCCTAATCCAGAGCCTTGCAGATAAGAGATGAAAAATTTGCCATTTTCTTCTTCTCTTGCCATTTGGGCCAAATCTGTTTGAAAATAAACGGTGCTGGGTCTCTTGGATAAGGATAAGGAAGATAATTGATTGTCATTGCTTTCAATGCTGGGGGTGGTATAATTGCTGGAAGAAAGGGAATCCGTTGCATTTGTGCTGTTGCTGCTGTAGGATTCTGTAGTGACAATGACACCATTGCAGCTGAAATCTCCCAAGAAAGAACGAGCATCCAACCCTGACTGTTCCAGAATCTGAAGTATCACCGTCAGTGCCAATATGGCAAGACCCAACGTCTTGAACAAACCTCCTCCTGATGCTGTTGCGAAGCCGGCGCTTGTCATCTTCCTCGTTTGTGTTGTGGCGACGTGTGGTTGTGGTGGCGTATCAGTTTCTCAACTTGAACCTCGAGCGGTACCTGGTCTGTGCCTGGTAGATCAGAAACTGCGTCAAGCTTCGCCACCTGAGCGGTTCTCAGCTTAAAAGCCAGCAATAGCTGTAAAGACTACCGTGCCAACAAAAACAACCTCTTCGCGATGCACTGTTCAACAGTACCGGTACCCGTACCAATCTGCAACGCTGCGTCAGATGAAAGCCAAGGCGGACAGAGACCCCATGGCTATCCTACGTATAGTTTATTTTAAAAAAAGCTGCGCAGTGCTTGCCTCCTTGGAGAAGAGCAAAGCCCGTTGCTTGGCACCGGCATTCCACGGGATGAGGACGTTCGGCTGAGTGTAATTAGATACCAAACAGGATGCTACCGAATTGTAATACTTTGGAAGCAGATGTAAAATTGAATTCAATCCTCCAGTGTCCCTCTCTAGCTTGCTTGTCTATGCGTCTCCATGCTCCGGCTCTAACCACCCCCGACAAGCTCGGAAGTGAACTATGCCGTACGTACCGTACCAGTGGGCACAAGCCGAGTATCACACATAACTACTGGTTGATAGCCCCCATCAAAAGCTTCCAAGAAAGGGGAGACAAGTCTCTGAATGAACGTTGGCGGGAGCTTGTACCAGTAGTACGCTTGGCCATTTTCTGGCATGGCTAGCTAGCTAGCTAGCTGCTGAAGTGATTTGTTGGAAACACATACTGGAGACTTAACAGAACGGTATTCCTACTAATGCTTCTTTACGAAAGTTTTGAATGTAAAAACCTTGAGCCTCAGCTCGAGCACGAAAAGCGAAAGCACCAATGCTGCCATCAATCGACACACAAAACCCATCGTCGGTGTAGGCCAACAGAATAGAAAGCATTGGACCAATCGTTGATCCTTATCGTATCATTCAGTCATCATGTCTAACAATGCCGATCATCCGGAGTTTACTTTCCACGAAATGCTGGATCCGTTTGCCTGCCCTGTCAATTTTGCCATCATGGATGATCCTGTCTTTGTGGATGCAGAGTGCGGCCACACTGTCAACCGTGATGCGTGCGAAGAATGGCTGGGTCTACACATGACTTGTCCTGCCTGTGGTAGCGCTCTCCGTTCCAGGAATGTTTTCCCGAATTCTCCCTTCCGTGACGAACTACTCAATGTAAAAAACAAGGTCAGCATCATCATGGTGAAGGACGTAGTGTCCAGCGTCGGAAAAATTCCACAGCTCAATGAGGCAATCACTTCCATCCAATCAGCCATCGAGGAAAATCCACCCTTTCTCTCCCACATTGTCCAAAATGGAGGAATACAAGCCATGGTAACCGCAATGACGAACCACGGCCAAGAGGTGGATATCCAGGAACAAGCGTGTGCCATACTGAATAATATCTCGGAAAATCCAAAACATCATTTAGCCATTTGCAAGGCTGGAGGCAATGGGGCCATTGCCATGGCGATGGAAAAACATCCATCCATACAAACTGTCCACGAAATTGGACTAGAAACACTTTTGACACTGATTAGCACGGCCAACCCGCGTCGTGTTCCCTCTATTGCCGACGCCAAAGGTGTCGAAGCTATTGTGACTTCCATGGAAAATCATCCATCTTTACGGGATCTCCAGCGAAATGGTTGCGCGGCATTGCACATTCTGGCCCGCAAATTTCGGGACAAGCAACAGTCCATTGCTGATGCTGGAGCTATCAAGAGTATTGTTTTGGCAATGCGGAACAATCCAGCTTGTGCTTATCTCCAGCAATATGCTTGCTTGGCATTGCATTTTCTAGCTTACGGCAATCCAGGAAACCAAGAGTCTATTGCCAGTGCTGGTGGTTGTCAGTGCATTGTTGTGGCAATGCAAACCCATTCCACCATGGCTCCTGTCCAAGAAGCTGCATGTGTGGCAATTGGGGACCTGGCTGCTTGGACCTCAGCTATCCAAGTCAAGATTGCCAGTGTGGGTGGCATTGAAGCTATTATCACTGCCATGGGGAACCATCTAGATGCAACTGGCATCCAGGAAAGGGCATGTGTAGCATTGAATAGCTTGACCAACAATCCAGACAACATAGTCACCATTGCTAGTGCTAGTGCAATTGGAGCTGTTATCACTGCCATGCAGCATCACAGAGATGTGGCTCCCATCCAGACTAACGCATGTGGGATATTGGGGAACTTGGCTGGCAAGAATCCAGAAATCGCAGTTGCCATTTCCAGTGCTGGTGCAATTGAAGCTATTATCACTGCCATGCAGAACCACAGAGAGGTGGCTCGCATCCAAAATTTCACATGTTGGGTATTGGGGACCTTGGCCTTCAACCTTCCAGACAACATTGTGGCCATTGCCATTGCCAGTGCTGGTGGCATCAAGGCAACTTTGACTGCAATGCAAAACCATAATGATGTGGCTCCGGTCCAGGAAAGTGCTTGTGTGGCATTGGGGCGCTTTGCTGAATCGAATCCAGAAATCAAAGAGTCAATTATTTGTGCCGGTGGCATTGAAGGTATTGTCTTGGCCATGCAGCAACATCATGCCAATGCTCATGTCCAGGCATCTGCTTGCTGTGCATTGAAGCACCTGGCTGGCAGCAAGCTAAAGATTCAGTTGCCAGTTGTGTGGGCCATAGTTGCTGCCATGCAGAACTATGAAGATGTGCCTACCATCCAGCAACACGCATGTGGAGCATTGTGGACCTTGGCTTGTAATCCAGAAAACATACTTTCCATTGCCAGTGAAGGTGGAATTGAAGCTATTATCACGGCCATGCAGAACCACAAAGGTGAGCCTGTCATCCAGCAACATGCATGTGCAGCATTGGGGAACATGGCTTTCAGCAATCCAGTCAACAGAGTTGCCATTACCAGTGCTGGAGGCATCAAGGCAATTCGGACTGCCTTGAATAACCATTCGGGTGTGACCCCCTTGAAGCATGCGGCAAATTGGGCGATGGCCAATCTCGGCGGACGCATGACAAACCCGGACCAGCTTTCCTCAAACGAATCAGGCAGCATGTTGTTTCCTTGCTAGCTTTTCTTTGGTTTCAATGCTATTGTAGCACAGCGGGGTCGCTGGCTACGGTAGTAGTAGTTTCACTTTGGGAGATTGATACATTTGTACGTAGTACATTTTGAAAACAAACTGCCTAGCTAGTATGCACGGTAGCACTGTCGTACCTAGCTGCGTCCTGCAAATCAGATCAGTCTTCGTGTCATTCTATTCGATTCATGGATTTGGTCCAGACTGGTACCCTTGTTGGCACGGGCACGGAAGGGGATCTGGATCACAATCCAGTTGTAGCCATTGCCAAATAGTCACAGAGATTTCTCGGAGCCCACCAACTGGTTGTTGTACGGAACCAAAACGTTCCAAAGAAGCCACGAAGAATCCGAGCTCCTCCGTGGGGAAGTAGATTGTTGAATGAACCATCCAATTCTCGCAACCAAGTGATGGCTTTTAGCACGATGGTTGGTTGCCGGGCGAATAAAATACAAGCCCTCACTCTATCCGGGTCGAGTTGAGTCAATGCGAGCCATCCCCGTACGGTCGTTGGATGAATAAAATAAATAGTGCCGTCTTGCAAAGAATCCGAGGGCTGTCAAAGCATCGAGACAAATGGGTACTGCAGTCGAGTCGAGTTGCCTCCCAAGTTCTTGAATTCTTCGCTCTGACGAGTCCAATCTCGGATATGATACGGTTGGATACGCAGTTGAAGGACAAAGAAATCCAGTGGAACTCGTGAAGAAGCGAGTAGGTACCGGCATCCAACTATTTCTCGTAGAGAAATTTGCGAGTGCTTGCCACGCACTATTTTCTCCCTACCGTACCGTAATAGCTCGACAGTGTTGGATCGGATGGTGATGGTATAGTGGTAGCTGTGGGTGTACCGTATCGGTATAGTAGCAGTAGTTTTGTTTGGTGCTGTTTTGGGTAAAGCCTTTGTATGGTACTGACATCATACTACGGTACCAGTACCTGTACTGTACAGCTGAGAATGGATCCATCCATGGAAGGCGTTGCAGTTACTCAATCTGCCTGGCAGATGTTTTACAGGTGCCGATGATCTTGCTGAAATTGAATCGAATCAGAATCAGCGAGGAGCTCGACAGTCACCGAGCTTGGTTATCCCCATCCGTTGCGTGGGAAGCCAGAACGGGAGTAATAGTATTCTGAAGCAACTTGTGGAGTGAGCTGAGCTGCCACCTTTGAGCATTTCCATTTTCCCTCTTTGTCGCTGTCGTCGTTGTCTCCATCTTCTCCGTGCTACTAACTAGCTACTAGATAGCTAGCTATTGCTCGTCTTGTTGTGTAGAAGGGGTGTCGATGATGGATGTTCCGAGGATGATGGAGGGACAAGGAAAAGATCGCAGATTAAAGAAAGCGCTAACCCTACTGCATCTGTCAGATCAAAAAGATCCAAGGATTTCAGTGGCCAACAGCCAACCGACACTGGCCACAGCCTGAGGGAGTTGCTTTTGCAGCATGACCTCCCATCACAATTCACAATCTGGACCATGATCATGAGGAATCTGTTACTACCACTGAGTTATGAACTGCACTGTAGCTGGTTGATGGTGCTGTTGATGCTCGCAGCTAGTAGTAGTATCAGCAATGGCTTAGTACAGCAGCAGACGACGATTCAAGTTTGTCAGAATAAAGATTGCTGCAAGCGATATCAGCAAGCACACAATTCGATGGATCTCGTACAGACATTTCGAGACCTGTTGGCACCCAGTACTATTACTATTAATAGTAGTCAACAACAGCAACAACCACAATTCGTGGTGGAGGCTAGTGGATGTCTGAGCCATTGTGGCAGTGGACCCAATGTGGCCATCATCACACCAGACGGCTCGTCGTCCAGCAACAACCAAGAGACTGTTCACAATCACGTCGAAACTCCCACTAGTGCCGCCGCCATTCTCCCGGTGGAACCACATCCGACGCTGTTGGCGGCTGTCACCGTCATGGAAAAGGCACACAAAGGTATGTAAGATAAGCGTACATTTCGTATCGATTTTATTCCGGCTGTCACCATTAGAGTCGCCATTAGGGATTCATACATACCATTCCCTACTCGGTGCTAAGTGCAGCCCAGAGCAATCTGGTCAAGGGTTCTTCGTCTGGTGATGCCGTCTTTGCAAGGTCACTCAGATGGTTCCAGATCTACTACAGTCTATCAATCTTTATATCAATACTCATTGATTCGATCATCCAACTAACTTTTGTTTTTTGTTACATCCAGCCACAGAGACAGACAAGAAACTCCATCTACTCAACTCGGTCATTAACAAATTGAATAGCATTCCAGAATTGGCCGAATCCGCTGCCAACGTTCATGCCCACACGTTGCGCGCTCAAGTGCATTTGGAGACTAGCAACAATCATAGTGTGGAGTTGGCCATGCACGATATTCAACAAGCCATTGCCATGAATGCCAAAAATCAACTCCTTCCGTTGCCCGCCAATGCATGGAGGATACTAGCGGATGCGCAAGAACAATCGGGAAATATACCCGCGGCCATGGCGGCATTGCGACAATGGGCACAACTCAATCCATCCTATGCTACCAAAGTCGCCAAGGAAGTTTCCAGATTACAGCAGCAGTTGTAGCATGCACTGTGATGACATGACAATGCGGTGACAATAGTATAGACCCATTCATAGACAATAAATCAATCTAGACGAAAACTGTAATTAGACTCATACGATATTCTTCTACCGGTAGCTAGTGCCAGAGTCTGGTTGAGGTACTACCGTTTATGGATTGTCAAACCAAAGGAACCGTGAGTGCCAACCTGGACGGATTCATGATTCGATTCGATTCATCGGATAGCCATTCCAATTGGTGAGTTTTTATAGTTTTGTACTTGAGCTCCGTCATCATGCCGCTGCTTGGACGTTGCGGTTTTGCAAACGCGACAGCTGCTCCAACACGGTTGGCCGCAGGTATCGAGTGTATTCATCTGCCACATCTCCTCCTCGTGTTCCTCCTTCCGAGGAGAGGCCCGTCACGGAAGATGATGAAAGGCCGAGCTCGGGTCGAAACAATCGATAGTAATGATGCATAGCACCCAAAACAAAGGATCCATTTCGTGGATCATCATCCTCATGAGCAGCAGCAGGACAATCATCAAAGGACACCTTGTACTTTTTGGAAACGTGTTGTCGCAGATGCACATCCTCGGGGCGGATACAGGAACCACCCAAATGAAAGGACGATTGAAAGGCGTAGCGAGTTCGAATGACTGGCTTTTTCCACTGGTAATTCAGGTCATGCTCTCGCATCGGGAATCCATAAAACCCCTGTCGCATGAGGTTCTTCTTGTCGTGTGGCTCCTCCTCTGCCGCAACCATTCGCTGGACCGTGTAGGACGGAAAGTATTGAAAACACCATTCTTGGCAAACACCATCCGATCCTCGCATGGAGCGAATGGCATCTACGAGGCTCCGTGTTTTGCGGTACGGACTCTTGCTCCAGACACTGTCATGCTCTATTGGCAAACTGGGTGATGATGACTGTCCAACAATCCCGTGTGGATGATGGTGGTTGTCACGGCTGGACTCGAGGAGCAGAGGAGGCATCCATAATTCATCTACATCCCAGTTGACAACGTACTCGGACATGCCCTTGGCGTGAAAGAGGCATTGGTTGTAAAATCGTAGCTTGCGGACTTCTCGATTCTCCACGACGTGAGATTCGGTACCCAAAACCACCACGCCCAGGTCCTCCACAAAGTACGATAGCTTGTCGTGAATCATGGCAATATCACTGGGATTGTCCACTCCCAAGACCATGTGATCGACACCCACGTTAATGTGGTGTTGTACAAACTCTGGTAGGAACGGAAGCGCCTTGAGATCAATGCCCGCTACACACAGCACGACACCGAAGGGCCCCTTTTGTGCCACCTGTTCCAGGAAGGAATGACGTTGTTGCTGCTGTTTCCCTTGAAAGAAGAGTGTGGGTCCAGCATGACCGACGGACGCAGTGCTGGTGGGTACATCCACAGTCAAAATTGGGCGATCGTGACCTGGATAGTGTGGATTGTTTGGGTTGGTGTACACGGATACTCGCACGGAAGACCGTGTCAAAAGTTGAGATTTGGTCAGAAATGGAGACACGTTGCATCTCCAGATCAGATGGGTTCTCTTGGTATTCTTGTCTAGAGAGTTGTTGGGTATATAACTCATTCGGATTAGATCTGATGTCTTTCCTGCAACATCTGCAGTGCCATTGTTGTGGTGGCCTGTCAAAGTTGAATGATAGTGATCTTCCCCCCAAACCTTGCAGTAGAGTTCTTCTTTGGTGGCATCTTGAAACGAGAGCTGGTTAGGAAGAGGCTCGATCTTGTGCAAATCAAAAGAACCAGCGTTGGATCCAATGCCGACGGCATGACCAAACATGTCCACGTGCACCGATTCATCCGACCTTTGGTAGGAAGTAGTGAGTCGCAGTCCCAGGATGTAGAGCTTGTTATTCATAAAAGCTCCAGGAACTCGGTGGTTGTCATTGTCTGCTGGGATGTCGTTGTTGTGGTGTGTAGGCATGGATGATACGGACAGAGTGCGCTGGTGATCCATCATGGGAGAAGCATGCTGGAGAGGGTTTGATGTCATGGTCCACAGAGCCAGTGCTGCCAAAGATAGTATCATTGCACCTCCTTGATCCAAGGATCTCAGTACTATCAGCATGACTGAATGATAGCATGGCTTGCCATGACCGTGTTGTCCTGGACCCATCTCCTGCTTCAAACGCGGCCGTCTTGTGGTGTAACCTCCAGTGCACATTTTCCTCGTCAAACACTTGGAGGCTTGCTTTGTCTAACTCACCACTCCTCTCGTGTGTCAATATCGTTCCTTCGGTTGATTTGAGCATCATTGTGTCGTCTTCAAGAGTGGTGCTCCAGGCTATCTGAGCCTTGGAGTGAAGCTCAGCCAAAAGCATTGGTCGAAGTGAGTTAAGCCCGTAGAGCTGTCAATTGATTATTTAAAAAGAGGAGTTCAAGCCAAAACCATAGCCGAAATTATGGCTTCCAAGTTGGCCAGAAGTAAAGCGGTCGCGCTGCCAAGCTAAAAGGAGCACTAGCTAGTACCACTTTTTCCGTTGCAAGAATCTTTCTACTACTCGGAGTAACTGGATTGCATGAGGGAAGGGGTGCTGGACCCAAGGACGTCCAACCTGCTCCATTGATGATCCATCTACGAGAATCAAGGGGAATGCGATGTCGTTACCACTCTCCCCATGCATTGCCTTTTGGCACCAGAAACTACATGGCCCTGTATATTGAATAGTCTCTTTAAAAAAGGTCATGTATGTATGTTATGTATGTACGTATGAAAGGATGGTACTTCTACTAAACAGCAGTGGAAGGGATAGACAGCAGTGGAAGGCATGTGGAACGTTTCATTTGGAAGTTGGAACGATAGGGGGTACCAGGTACCAGCCCCGGTAGGAGGATGGATAGCTGTCTTGAAGTGACAGACCCACAAAAGACTGCTTGTTTATGAAGAGGACGACGCCCCGCCAGAATCACTCCTCGTTGTGTTTGCCGGCGTGGAAGAAGAAAAAGAGGTCTCTCCAAATTCCCTTTCAGCCTTGGCGATAAAGTCTGCGACGATGTCCTTGCCGCGTGTTGCCCATTCATCTCTATTGTTCTGCGCATAGATAAGGTATTCATCGCTAGAAACACCAAAAACACCACATTCTTTCAGCTTCTTACAAAGAGGGATGATGTAAAAGTCAAAGAAACCAATTTCGCCTTTGAACCAATATTCTCGTGGATCACTTGCAGATCTGCCTTCCAAATGGGCCTTGTAGCATTCCAAGAAGAAGCGTTCGTTCCTGTGTGCCAGCAGCGGAAGGGGTTAGAAAAACAATGAATCGGGAAGGAAAGCAAAAAACTAGGATAGACGACGTACCATTTCCTGTAAATGTGCCAATGTTGCATCTGAAAAGGAAGAACAAAGGAAACAATACGTGAGACAAGGTGCCCGTACAAGAGCCTCTCTCAAAACGGCAACCATCAGTTCGTCCACTTACAGTGTGAGCAACATCTGAAGCTTGAAGCAGATGTTCAATGACAACCGTCGCCTTTCTATTGGCAGTGCTGCGAACGAGCTCTCTCGTGCTGGATCGACCCAAAGAGAGGTCCGCTTTGGAATCGGCGGGTTTGGCGTCGAATGCCTTTTGCCAACGAGCATTCCTCGAAGCCTTCAAGTCTTTATCGGCAATGTCGGTCGCCATGACACACGTGACGGCGATTTCTCGAAAGTGGCGCAATTCAGTGGGAGTGGAGCATAAAGCAGCACGAAATGCATCAAAGGAACTTTCCATAAAGATGGCCCAGCTGAGGTCAAAGCTGTTCTGTTCGGCGACGCTGCGATTGTTGTAGTACGCAGCAATTTCACCCTTTTCCTTGACCAGCTGAGTATTTGGCACCCCCGTGTGATCCTGTAAAAGTTGACGATGAGGCAGAAGTCAACGTTAGGTATATAGAAGTGGCGTTTGTTGTTAAGAAAGATACCCAGCTTACCACATCGTGGATCAGGGCTGAGAAGATGCACGCGAATTGAGTGAGAGGATCGCTCGTGATCCCGAATGTATGATCTGAGTGGAGAACGGGGCAAAAGGATGAGATATCTCGATTCTGACTTGTGGTACCAACCGAGGGAGGCGAAAACGTACCGTGAAGACTTGCTGCAGCTCCTCCTTGGTCATCGCTTTCAGAGATATCATCCATGTCCAAGTCAGTTGGAGCGACAATTCGAGAGAGTAGCTTGGTGACTGTACATAATTGCAGAGAAAGAAGAGCTTGTGAGGAGAGGTTTCTTGGATTCACGGGCAAAGCCATGATTGGTACAACTCACCGCTCATTGTGACATGTGACGCATGTTCTGTCAGAGAAAGGAATCCGACGGGAAAAAGTGAGGAACTTGTTAACAAAGAACAACAACAATCGAAGAAACAGCATCCGCAGGATTTACCAAAATTGTGGAAGTAGTTGCTGCGGTACCCGCCAGCAATCCGCCGGACAAGATTGCGCAGCTGATCAACCACGAGGCTTGGGATTTCCATTTGCTCTGGGTTGCGCTGTCTTCTGGCTGCCGCACGGTTAAATTCTGGCAATTCCACGATATCCTTGACCTCATCAAGTGGCTTTCCCCCTGACGTTATCGGCAGTTCCAGTGGAGCCTCTTCACGACCGGCAGGCATCATTGCAGCAACCTCATTCTGAGCGTCGCGACGGGCAATGATTTCCTTCAGGAGATGAAGCAAAGCGCCGACATTCCACTCCACCAATCGATCAACTCTGCTGGAGTGATTGGCCAATGGGCTACTCCGGGGCAGTGCTCGTTTTGCTCCTTTGTCCCCCTGACTGTTAGCTTCGACACCGCTATCGAAGCTGCTGCCACTTGTGGTACTTTCTCCGTCGTGTCCATGGGCAGGGGTTACCCAGTACGTCTGAATCACGCCTAAAACCGCACAGAACCAAGTTTTCGCAAAGTGAGACCATCGAGAATCATCGACCTTGCAAGCGTCCATGCAGCTCCACTCTTACCTTTTCCCTTCGCCGCAACCAAGTCCTTGCGTTTGTGAACCCAGTGACTCTTCCCAGCACGGGCAAGCAAGTCAACGGTGGCTTGCGAGATATGAATTCGACCTGCCATTCCAGTAGTTTCTGCACAATAAGGAGAAGAAAACCAGGGTTGAAATTGGTGAGGAGGCATCTAACGGCAAAAATGACGCGCGCCGATCGCATTTCGAGTCACAGATGGTGAAGCTCAGATAGTGAGAAGCAACTTACCAAGCCTGCTGGTTGTGTTCATGGTGTCGCCAAAAAGCTGGTGGAATGGCATGGAAAAGGTTGCCGGGGTTAGTCGCTTCAACGATAAGGGCAAGTAGGGTGTATCCTCGGACAACTCCTTACCTGGAATCGTGCTTTCTTGCCTCTGAGGATTCCAGCCGTGACAGGGCCACTGTGGATGCCAATTCTCAGCGCCAAATCGCCTACTCGCGAAGAAACAGTGGTTCGTTGAGGGGGTGGAGTGTTGCTACATGCGCTTGGTCGATCTCGAATGAGACTTACCAGTATCAGGCCCCAGCACGACCTCCAACTCCTTTGCCAAGACTCCAATCTTAATGTTAATATCACTGGCAAAACGCACCATTGCCACTGCGTGGTCATTTCGTGGATTTGGCAGACCGGAAGCAGCAACCTGCAGATGTCGGAGAGGTAATGAACAAACAGAGGCAATGCGGTTTAGAGACAGTGATCACGAAAACCCATGGAGAGCGAGGCGGTGAAAGTACTTACATAGCAATCTCCCACAGTTTCCACTGCAACCATCATTAAAAGCAACAGATGCCAGAAAGGTAAGGACGAGGTGATTCCTTGCTATCGAGCAACATCGCACGGAAGGAGACGATTCCGTACCTTTGAAAATGCGGCGTGCCTCAGCCACTTCATCGAACGACGAATAAATTGTCTCCAAGAGAATGAAGACTACAGTGGCAACACATCATCGGCAGTGGGAGGTAAGAAACTGGCCAAGGAACGCGTTGCAAGCCGCTTCACCTTGTTGACGGCAGCACGGATCTTACCTTGGTTTGGTTCGCGAACGGACGACCATGCCTAAAGCGCAACATGCAGCGTCGGATCAGATCGATTTGACATTGATGCAAAAGCACACCAACAAATCATCAACAAGTGACCAAAGCATTCTTACCGTAAAGCCAACGAGATCTTTGGATTGCAATGCAAAGACGTAAAAGAGTGAGGAGCTGATGTAACCAGTGTCCAGTATCAACTTTGCCGAATCAAGATCTTACCTGCAAAGAGGATGCTAACATCGGGGAATAGATCTGCCAATGGTTTCGAGGCACCGTTGCCATGATCTCCAGTGCCACCACTGGACATGAATGCCTTGAGACTAGAACCAGATCGGTAAGATTTGCCGCCAACACTGGAGGTGTCACCGTCACCCAAGAGCCTAGCTTGAATGTTCTTGGGAAACAGCGAGGACACAATGGCATTGGACCGAGCAAATCGTGCAATGAGCTTTTCGTTTCGTCCGTCGACGAGCTGGTCGTAGACAAAGTAAACAGCCGCAATGCAAAAGAAGAGCATGGAAACCACAATGGCGTATGCTTCAGGCCGGAAAGACACAAACTGATCCCAGATGGTTGCAGATGGATACAGATTCTACGACAGGTAACACAGGCAAATGAAAGAACGACACAGTTTGTTGGTAAGGAATTTTAAAATGCAAAGCTGAAGCGGAACCTGAAAACATCATCTCGTTGTGCGTGTGTGTACACTTACCAGTGTGAAAGTGCAGTGGCCGGTGGTGTTCATTGCCATGTCCTTGTCCTGGTAAAACCCAGTTCCCAGGTCCACGTTGACAATATACTTGTCAAAGTCAGTGTCATGCACGTCTTGAGCGCCGAGGTAGGTCACGTCACGTCCATTGATCTCATAGGAGAAGACTTGGTTACAGTTGGCACTTTCGAGTACGGCCACCATGCCATGAACATCTTGAGGGAGCGTGTTGGCAAACATGTGATCCCAAGTGAAGGCACTAGAGATCACCCCCACAAACTGTGGTGATTCGGTGCTGCTGCCTTGAGGTTCTTGGTACACGGGAGCAAAGGCGTAGGTCATGGGCTCTTCAGTAGCATTAGGAGGCTGATACAAGGGATCCACTTGATCAGGAAAGGTAAAGAGCACTTCGTCTTGGCCCAGCTCGACGAGTGCCTCGATCGTGTGGTAAAATCCCGCATCAGATCCCATGTTCCAGTTGATGGTGGCAAAATCGAGAGGTGGCGGAGACCATGCCAAGGAAGGGAAGTAGGATTCTCGGCCAAAGTCCTGTACCATGCCTCCAGTGGCAGAATCGACTCGAGAGATGAAGGAGTTGTATCCCACTGGCTTGAGGTCATCTTGTGTTCCGGCGAGCTTGTTATTGGTGAGAACGACATCCTCGTGCGTCTTGTCGGCAAAGTCGACCCATTCTTGTCGTAGTTCTTTGTGGACCATGGAGAAAAGACCCAGCGCTTGCACGCCGGCAACAGCCATGGTTCTCTGAGCATGAGCTTCAAAGCGAGGCAATGTGAAGAAGGGCCATGGGTTGTAGACGAGCTCGGCCGTGGTACTGACGACGGTGGAAAACTCGAGCAAGGACGAACGAAGGGTCTGCTGCTGCTCGACCACACGGTCTCCAACGGAGCTGGCAAAGCGAGCCCATGCTTCCGCAAACTGGACGTGTTCCTCCTCCCTCTGAACACAATACGTGGAAATAATCAAGACAACGGCAATCATGATGATGGTATCCGTGACCACAAAGCGCCAAAAGCGGAGACGAGCCGTTTCGGATTTGGCAACCTGACGGGCATGTTCCACTTCGTCGTCTTCCTCGTCGTCGTTACCAGAGGGAAAGCCACCGGTAGATTCAACCGAGGAGTTGACTTGACCTGAGGACTCACTGTAATCCTTTGCCGCATCCTCTGCAGGTTCATCCTCCATCACTTCCACCGGCTCGGGGGGGTCAGAACCCATCTCGGGATCTAGTTCGGGTGCCTTGGAGAGATCTGTCATGGTCAAGTCTTTTTCTTGCTGAGATGGTCCAAAAAAGTTGTTGGTTGTGCCTTGCTTGGTTGGTTTTGAAATTTCTGCAAAAGACTTTTTGTGAAGTTGTGAAGACAACATACGGATCCTACCGCCTAGCTAGCTCTGCTTCCGATACTTCGAAGCCAAAACTGATTTCAAAGTGGAGGGAGTTGAAAAGCACCCCGACTGGTTCTCTCATGGTGGTCAAAACCTTCCGAACCACCGCAGTCTTGATTTCTGTGTATTCTGTGACCATTCCTACAGTCATTGGGCTAAAAGTGTCTTCAAAGGTGACGGAAGTCTTTGGCGTTCGTGTCTCCAGGGTTTGAAGAGGTGGCTGTTCGGATTCAGGCCTTCTTCGTTATTGCATGCACCAACGTACTTTCGTGCAAAGCACTGAAGCATTTTAACGTACTAGCTAGCTAGTATGAAATTGGTTGGCGTTCCGATGTCCCAGTCCAGCACATCTACCGGTACGGTATCTTTCCTTCGCCCGAGGTTCTTCTGGACAGAACCACGCTATTCATACCATAGTTTTATTGTTAAGATATACATCATGATAGAGCAGGTTTTCAGGTCCGTCAACAAGCAAAAGGAACAAGAAGTAAAACTACAATCTAGCTACTAGTAGCCTTCTGGGCTAACTCCTTCCTCCTCAATGCCCGAAAAATACTAAATTCTTTAAAAAAAACAAGTAGAATCATTTTCGCATTTTCATGGCCTGATATCTTTTGACCAAGCAATATCTTATGATCGGGTTGAGAGTGCTGCTTTATTTCTGAGCCGAAAACTTTGTCACGGTCCGGAGATAAAAAAGCTTCATACGCGCTGAATACAGGTTCGGCTCGTACTGTATGAACCTTCTCTTGAGTCAGCAAAATTACAGAAGAAGGGCTCAGTAATGAGGACAAGAGTGCCCCCCTTTCCGATGCCGCAGCCCACAGCCCACAATAATTGCCGCCAAACGGCCCAACGAAGTGCCGGATGTGAACCCACAAGTAAGTATGTACTCGTATGCATACCTGGTATGTCTGAAACTATGCACATGCATCTCGTCAGCAAGAGTGATGTGCGCAGAGATTTGGGTGACTAGGCTACTAGCTATCCCAGGTACATGTTGCAGTGGTGTTGGTGTGTTGGCTAAAGTGCTTCGATGGTTAAATTGCGGATCTCGAAAGAAGAAAATGGAGGCTGTACATGTACGGAAGAATCTTCAATTATTCCCCGGACGTGGTGGCAACACGGTACAGTACCCGTATCCACTTCGGAGCTTGCCATCTTTGACGCAACGATGATCATCAGAAGAAGCACAGGAACACAGGAAGGAGGTACATGTAGAGGGCACAACGGCACAACGTCATGGGCAGATGGGCAGGTGAAAATAAATGCTTCAGATGCTTGAACTTCAAGCTCGACCATTTACTACTAGAAGTACTCAGAACTCTCAGCTGTACTCTCTGAGTAGTATTTTATTTTGCTAAACTTTCCCGGCGCTCGATGGTCAAGCTATTGTAGCTGAACGGTCACTGGCCGCATGCTTATTTAAAGGGGAGAAGTACCGGGAGTATGATAGAGCACAGCACCTCCCGAACAATGGTGGTCCATGTACGCTGGTCGCGAAGGAACCAATGGTGCTTCTTTTTCTCACATTTTGTCGCATAACGAAGGTTGGATTGTTGACACTTCCGCATTCCACAAACCACAAACCCAGTTGCAGTCACCTTCTGATTGTCACTGGCCAAAGATTGAAAGAGATGATGGTGAGGGAGCTAAAGCTGTAAAAGATCCACTAACTGCCAGGCAGAATATTGAGGTGGCCATTGCCGTGCCACTCCTGCTGTCTTCTGTAACTTCTTTTCTTCCTTCAGCAGAGTCTTCTTCAATCTTGTTCATTCTTCAAGAAGTAAGTCATCAAGTCAGAGAAAAGGCACGGTTGACTGCTCCGATTCAAACAATGAGTCGACGACGTCAAAGCTGGCACAAAAAACTAAAGCGGGAGCAGGAAACACCCACAACCAAGCAGATATCAAGGCACCCCTCCAATCAACCCCACAGCTCACATCGTCCCAACAACAGGAGACTCCTCATCGTTACCTCACTGCCATCGTCATCATGAGAGTTGAAGATTTGATCATTTCCATTGCCTATTTCTCCATCCCTCTTCAGTTGGTGGCATCCTTGACCTTTTACCCTCGGCTCATGTCCATGCCTCCCCAGATATTGTTTTTGTTCGTTCTCTTTGCCCTCTTTATTCTGTGTTGTGGAACTGGACATGTCTTGCGGTGTGTCAATATGACAGATACACATGCCTTTCATGTTGTCAACTGGATCACTGCCTTTGTGTCGATTACCACAGCACTTTTTCTTCTTCCCATGGTGCCCACCCTCATGAGTGAAATTGATGATGGACTGCAACGACTACAAAAGCTCGAAGAGGAAGCAGTCAAGGGAGCCAAATACTCCAAGCTGAGTATGGAACACAGTGAAGGAGTATGAGTGTCCAGCATTTAGCAATCGGGAATTGCATTTGAGCATGCGATCAATGCACGGTGCCTCCGTTTCTCGTTCCCAGCCATTTTGGTCTACATTCTTCACTTGCATCATCTTCCAGCCATCTATCTAATGTATGTATAACTGCTTTCACGCATAGAGTAAAGAAGTTAAGGGATATTATCTTCATATCACTCTGCCCCTCCCCTGTACGATGCCTAGTACCGTACCAACAGTTCAACCAGCAGCTTCCGGCTCGACAGGATTCGTAGCTCAAGCTAGACTAGTCGCTCCTTGACGCTGAATAGCTAGACACTGCTGGAAACTCTCAACAGTGTTTTCTTCCTTGGTCAAAAAGTCCTTTGCCGACGACCAAGACACCGGCAAGAAGCAAAAAGTTGTCCAAGGCGACCATTTGAATGCTGCTTTCTTCATCAGAAAGCTGCTTCCGCTGCAGGAACATCTTGGGCTTCTCGAGCTCATTTGATTGTGAACCTTCGCAAGTCATATGCCTGATGCCTGATGTAGATCTAGCTACCGGTAGCAAGCTATAGCATTCAGCGACGTCTCGTCTTGTCAGTACATGCATGCAGTAGATGCATGCAGTCGAGGACCACCCTGATGAAGCTCCTGATGATTGCTTCTTGCAGGTGGGAGGTGGTGAGGACAACCACCGCCTACATCTTTGCATACGGAACCGACCAACCGGGCTAGCAAGCTGGGAAGTGGCGGTGCAAGAGCTGGCGCAAGCATGCTTCCGGAACATGGGGGTTTTACGGAAGAATGGTTCGATTCGCAATCAAGCAAAACCGAAGGGGCGACTTTGGTGGTTCTTTCAACCTTTCGGGTGACTTTCTTTTGCTTCTATCGGACAAAGAAAGTTTTGTGTGGCTGACCACTCAACAGAGTCATAGTGGATTGAGTAGCTATTGAGTACTGAGTACTAATACATTGTAGCTGGCTAGCTAGGATGCTGTACCTGTCGAGGCCGGATTGAACGATTGAACATGTTCCTTGTTGGATGAGCTGCGGATGTTGGTTAGCGGACTCACCAACCACAGCTCCAACCACCAAAGCTAAGACACCATAGCTGACACCATGATGTCGACCACCAAAGACTATTAATGACTCGGTGTGCCAGCCATTCTGGTTGCTTCCGGTACTGTACCAGTACCGTACCTGCTGATGAACCTTCCGGTTCTTCCCGTGCGGCGACGGGCTTGCTTGTGCTCTCTGCTTTAAAAAGTGGTGGTTGCCACTGATAGCAGATGATAACAGTCCCTGTCACTACTGGTTGCCGTGTGAAAGCCCGAAAGAAGGCGCAGATGGTCACTTTGGATAGCTCCACAAAAACCAATAATGAGAAGAGACACTGTTAGTTTCCAACACAAGGACTAACTACGCAGCCACAAACAGAAAAGATTTGCCAGCAAAACACCTGCACCATGAAGATCGACGACTTGATCATTACAGTAGCCTACTTCTCCATCCCAGTCCAGTTGGTGGCATCATTGGCATTCTACCCCAGGCTCGTGTCAATGCCTCCACAAGTTTTGGGAGTGTTTATACTTGTGGCTCTCTTTATCCTTTGCTGTGGCACCGGTCACCTCTTAAGATGTGCTGACAAGACAGACACAACAATGTTTCACGTTGTCCAATGGATCACAGCCATTGTGTCAATCTTGACAGCAGTAGTTCTTCTTCCCATGATACCTGTCCTTATGAGTGAAATTGACGAAGGACTTGAACGTTTGCAGAAGCTTGAGAATGAAGCATCCAAGGGAGCCAAGTACAGTGCACTGAGCATGCAGGATGACGGCGCGGGGAACTGAGCAAGGGAAGTACGGACCAACCAGCAAACCAGAAACAAAGGGACCTCCCACTAGATGGTGCCTTGCATGTAGGAAATTTACTCGAAACGAACCTTGTAAAATAGTCCTGAGTTTCACTGCAGTTTTGAGCAAAGACAATCGTCCTTAGAATCGCTGCTGCCTCGCAACTCGAATGACTTGTCTCCTATGCTCCGAGCAAACCAGAGGACTTCGTCTCCTAGTCTACGGTACAAATACTCTGTCTAGGGAAGAAGCGCAGTGACAGCACGTAAATGATACGCAAAGGAACATCAATTCCATCCAGACAGGTACATCGTAGAAGTCATTGTATGACCGTCAGCTACGGTAGCTAGGTTGAAGTGAAGCCGATATGTGTGTCCTTCAAAGTTCAAATACGAGGCGAAGGAAAGCCCAGTTGCTACATTAGATGGATGGCCAAAGTGGATGTGTGCTTCAAAGAAGAGGCAGAAGGAAAGAGAAAGCAGACAGTCAAACGAAGGAAAGCCCAGTTGCTGCGGGGCTGCTACTATCATACTTGGTGCCGGTACCATATCCAGCAAGCATTTCGCGGAACAGTCAGTTTTTTCCCGCCCAGGAGCGGCTTCCCTTTTTGCGGAATCCTCATCAGGAAGGACTCTTTGGCTCTTTGGACTTTGGAGAGCTTGATGAAATGGAGAGGAGAGGCATGTTATGGCTTTATTACTGCAATGCAGTACAAATATTCTTTGCTTCGAAGGTCTGAAACTCAAAAGCCACAAAACCACACGGACCTGAGAATTTTCCCATTGGAGCATCTTTTTGGAAGCCCCCACGAACCACCTCATCAACAAGACCTGATAATGAAGCTTGACGACCTGATCATCACAATAGCCTACTTCTCCATCCCAGTCCAGTTGGTAGCTTCATTGGCCTTCTATCCTCGGCTCATATCAATGCCTCCACATGTTTTGGGAGTGTTTATACTTGTGGCTCTCTTTATCCTTTGCTGTGGAACTGGTCATCTCTTACGATGTGCTGACAAGGCAGACACAACGCTATTTCACATTGTCCAATGGATCACAGCCGGTGTGTCAATTTTCACAGCAGTAGTCCTTCTTCCCATGATACCCCTCCTGATGAGTGAGGTGGATGAAGGACTGGAACGAATGCGCAAACTTGATCGTGAAGCAGCCCAGGGGGACAAATACACTGCAATGAACATCATGAGTGAGGACAAGGCAGAAAGAATGAAGCTGATTGGTCAACCACCCAATCATTAAAACATCTAGACTAGCTAGCATGCACAAATTGTGTCACAGGTTGACAACAGTTATGAGCCAGCCACATTCGTTTACATTTACATCTATCTCTTCAATGAATTATCCAGCCCGCTACTAGCCAGCCAGCCAGCCAAAATACATTGTTTTATGAATGTATCAGCTGTATCCATACTGTACAACCACCAAGTACAGTACCAGCTTTTGGAGACACATGAATGTGTAGGCCAGCCCTTTCATCAACTGATCTCCTGAAGCAGAGAAGTATGAGGAGTTGACTTTCAAATTATGGGGGATGCCCTCTTCACAAGCCATTCATTGTTGTACCGGTACTCAATTCCCCAGCCATTGCTTTTGAGCCCATCAAGCAAACTTACCTCCTCCAATCCATGCACCCGGACAAGCCTGGGGCTCAGACTGTGCAAACATCCACCCGTGCCCACCAAGCACCGTTGTTGCCTTGGTCTGTCCAGCCGTCACCCCCCCCCCCTTTGGAGGTTTAAATTTGTCAGTTTTTTGGGGGGCCTTTAGCACCCCCCTCTTTTGTCACACCCACAACCCACAATTGACCCGAGGGCCAAAGCTTTGACCAGAGGATGCCGAGGTTCTAAAAAGAACCTGACTTCCTACAAGGGTACACAGTGTAGAGCATCAACAAACAGCTAACTACATGTAGCTAGAGTCGTTGAATGCTTACTATTACTCAATCATTGCCATCATTGGTTCGTAGCTCACTTGCCGCTCCAAAGTTTCGTCTTTATTCTCATTTCGTCATGACGACGACGACGACTCCACGCATCATCCTGGGCACCATGACGTTTGGTGGATCCACCAGTCTGGAAGATGCCAGTCTCATGGTTTCGGACTTTTGCCAGCCGGCCTGGAAAGAGTTGGTAAAGGAAGATCCCATGTTGGATTCTGCAATCATGTATCAAGGCGGAAAGACCGAAGTCGTCTTGGGAGAAATCATCCGACAACAAGGTACAAGCCTCCCCACTAGCTTGTCGGTCGCCACCAAGGCCAATCCATTTTCACAAGACAAGGATCTGTCACCAGAGGGAGTCCGCAAGCAATTGGAAGCTTCGCTCCAATCGCTTGAAACAGACAGCGTGGATATCTTTTACTTGCACGCACCCGATGCCAACCATCCCATTGAAGCCACGCTGGAAGAAGTCCAAAAACTATTCCAACAAGGCAAATTCCGCAAATTTGGTCTCTCCAATTTTTCCGCCTGGGAAACGGTCTACATTCACAACTACATGTCGTCGAGAAAAAATTACGTCGTACCCACAATCTACCAAGGCATGTACAATGCCATTACACGGCAAGTCGAGACGGAATTGCTTCCGGCACTGCGCAAATTGGGCATGAGCTTTTACTGTTACAACCCGCTCGCGGGAGGAATGCTCACTGGAAAATACCAACCCGCCGATTCCGACAAGGAGGCGGCCAAACGAAATTCGGGTGTGGGGGATCGATTTGCCGGAAATAGCTTTTGGGCCAAGCGATATCGAGAGCGATATCAGCAACAAGAACAATTTGCTGCATTGGAGATTGTACGGGAGTGTCTCACCGATGATGACTTGACCATGGCAGAGGCTTCGTTGCGATGGTTGCGTCACCATTCCAAATTGACAAAAGACGATGGGATCATTATTGGTGCCAGCAAGACGGGACATTATCATGCCAACATGAAGGCTCTCGCCAACGGACCTCTCACGGAAGACCTGGTCACTGCCTTTGGGAAAGCTTCCAAAGTTTGTCAAGATGTTTGTCCCAATTACGCAAGAGGATATTCAGGTTCGGCGCTGAACTAAAGAAAGAGCCAAGCAGTGACTCTGGCATCACGGACGTGCAGAATCAGAAACTGTAGATGCGGCTTTCAAACTGAATACCGTGTTTAAAGTACGCGAATCATTCGAGTGCTGTAGCAGCTCGTCCTTCTTCCTACTGTACTCAAAATCTCCATTTCCTTCTTCCTAGCTGCAACGAGATTGTCGTGGGTGCCGTAGTTGCTTCACGCATTTCCGGCGGGGTGCGTCTTCCAGGGCGCGGAACCTGTCGGAAGGAGACGGTTGCTTCCAAAGGCCGATATTGCAAACATGGCAGCGAGCGGTTTTTCTTGCTTTGTTGCAGCACAATTATGAAACTTCAGCACACAAAAGCTGGCATCAGGATACGTGATGTGGCTCAGGAGCCAGTGGATTGAAAGCTGTGTCTCGCCGCCTGAAACCAGGTGACTTTTGGCTGGCCGAGACTACCAGGTACCTACCATACTATTTTAATAGTACCGTAGCTACGGAGTAGTGGTACCTACCGGTACGGAGTATTATGGCTGGTACCGCAGCAGTGAGTTGCAGCTGGAGTTTCATCTTTTGGTTGCTAGCTAGCTGCTCTACTAGCAATCTAACCACGTCGCGCAGCACCTAAAAACTGGCCTTTCCAAAGCACATGAGCCTATTCTCAGTTGCCACGAACCTTCGATTGACTCCCACGGAGGAAGAACGTGCCAAAAAGACCACGTGGCGAGACGTGCTGGGAGTTTTTGTTTTAGGCTCCAAGCAAGATGCAGCAGGAAACCATCAAGAGCGATGGGTCATCCCAACTCTGGGCTCACAATAAACCAACAAACACAAAACTATACCTATCAAGCAGCCATCATGATCGCCACCAAGATGCAAAAAATGGCCCTCAGCGGTGCCAGCCGCTCTGCTCTGGCCAATCCGTTCTTTCTCAAAGCAAGCACGAAAGTTGCACCGACTTTGTCCATTGCCTTGCAACATCCAGTTCGTCACTTTTCTGGTACTGAAAATGTAAAACACAACAACAGCAGCGCTGCGACGTTGAGCAACCATGCTCATGCCTTTTCGTCAATGGCTGCGATGCCCCGAGGCAGTCTCGAGAAGCCACTTCAAGTTCTAGACATGGCCACGGTTCGAAAAATCAAGTCAGAGCTGATGGAAGTCGATGCAAACTCTGATGGCAGGTACGCCCAGATTGCTTTCTTGGACTGGAGATAAACTTTGTAAACCCTCGCCAGGGCCATTTCATTGAAGATGCCAACTCAACCGGGTACAATTCTGTGCTGTTTTCCGTGTTTTCTTCCAACCAGAATCGACGCTGAAGAGCTCAAGGCACTACTCAGGAAGCATGCGGCCGCTTTTACCGATGCTGAAATTGTGGAGATTGGAGACCTGTACTATGCTTCCAAGGCTGGAGACTCGGTCTCGTTCAATAGATTCATTGAAGCTATCGACCATGCCGCCGCAGCTGCAGTGGATGCCGACAAGCTGAGCAAGTTTGATGAAAAGATAGATCACTTCAAAGAGGGCGGCCGCCATCCATTGGGTGTTGGTTCGTGCGGTGTGGAGTTTTTGCACACCACCAGGTCCCATCATGGTCACTACACGCCTGAGGAGCTGGATGTCAACCTGACTCACACTCCTCCCAAGGACCTTCGCGACAAACTGGCCTTTAACAGCGTCAAGCTGATGAGGAAATGGTTTGATTTGTTCACGGGCTGGAAGAACGACAACATTACAGTGAACAACATTCTGAACCGTGTCATCTATCTGGAGACAGTTGCAGCGGTGCCAGGAATGGTGGCCGCCATTGTGCGCCATTTCCGCTCGCTGAGGACTATGAAAGCCGATGGCGGATACATGCAACTCTTTTTGGAAGAGGCCAACAATGAACGGTACGATTTATTTGAACAGCTACCGTACATGTACTAGTGAACTGATATGATCTGCTCTGAAATGCATGGCTGCGTTCTCACAACCAACTGTCCCCCCGCCTGCCTCCTACTTCAGCATGCACCTGTTGACGTTTGTCCGCATGAAGGACCCCAACATGCTCTTTCGTGCCGCCGTTGTGTTGGGCCAGTTTGGCTTTGGGGCTGCCTTTTTGACGGCTTACACCATCAGCCCAGCCTTTTGCCACCGCTTCGTGGGCTACGTGGAAGAGGAAGCCTGCAGCACCTACACCAAGATTATCAAGGCGATTGAAAGCGCCCCCGAGGGCACGGAACTTGCCCAGTGGAGGACAGAAGCTCCTCCCAAGATTGCCAGGGCCTACTGGAAGCTTCACGATGGCACTGTGTTGGACTTGATGTATGCCGTGCGTGCCGACGAAGCCGAGCACCGTGATGTGAATCATCTGATGAGTGGTGTGAAGGAGGGCCAGATCAATCCATTGTATGATCCCGAAGCCAAGTTGGATACGATGCTGGCCAAGTACGTGTCGGATCTGATGAAGCGTGGAAAGGAGTAGTAAGGACACGGAGATGACTGCATTCCTTCTTGTTTGAGAATGCAGAATGCAACCAAAGCAAAAACCAACGAACCGCCATGTAACGAAAGAAACACTCTTTCCCCAGTATTCACCTTTGATCTGTGGCAACATCCATCATTTTTGAGAAAGATTAAGTGCATGTACCGCCACATAAACATATAGCACACGTATAAACCATGAATTTGCCCTTTCGTGTCCACACCGCCATCAATCAACATCATGGTAGCTCCCTATGCTGCGTCATGGGCATCATTGATCTGCATTTCTACAATTTAGTGTTAGCTTTTCCTAAACTCTTCTTTCGCAGGAGCATCCGTGCTCTACCTTCTTCCTTCTTCTCTCTTTTTATGATTAGAACTTGAACTTGACCCTTGGATCTCGATCGACATTTTCGTATAGCTGATAGAGCATTTGTGCACTCTTGACGGGCGCGTGTACCGTGACGGACGTCCATTTGCCCATGGTCCGTGTGGAATGTTGTATCGATGTCGAATCATCGACTTCGCAACTTTCGGCCACCACTGCCAACATTTCCTCGACAAATGCCCCTTCGTTGGCTCCGACAATTTTCATGGTAAAGTCACAAGGATACTCAACCAGTGCTTCAAAGACGCGAGATTTTTCTCCCGTTTCTTCGTCCGCATAGAGTGTGTATCCCTGATCGTCATATTCTGGTTTGGTGACATCATTGAGTGGTTTGTTGTTGTCGGGTTCTCCAATGCCAATGTACGGTTTGGACGGTTTCTTCATTTTGCTGTCTTTGGAAGAACCTTTTTTGACGGAAAAGCCACCAAATCCGACGCCTGCTTGGGACGTGGGGACTCCATTGATGGTACTGGGCTGCGATGCCAAACTAGGAGCATTTCGTTGCTTCAATAGCCGTTGGAGACTCTCTTCCAAATCTTCTTCTTCCTTCTTGTCATTGTCATTATCATTGTTATCGTTATCTTCTGAAGGAACCGGATTGAAAAAGGTACCTGACGGCTTGGCATCCACCACCACAAGGCTACCCACACCACCACGAGTGCTTGTGGAATGAGACGGAAGAAACGCCTCTGTGGCCACACATAGCAAATGGATGGCACACACCATTCCCAGTGGAGATCTACTCTTTCCAGTCATCATCTTGGCTTTCACTCCTGTTGAGAATCAAGCCAACGAAAGAAAATTTGTGCAATAGAAAATATCTATTACAAACCAATGCTTCAACAGGTAGGTGAGCAGAGGATACAGTATGGTGTCTGTCTTCAAGCCTGATGGCAATCTGTCGTTGGTTGGTTCTGGCAAGCAGAATTTTGTTTTGGTCAAAGAATGATCCCAGCTGGTTGTCAAGCCTTCAAAGTTCTGTGGGTCGTCTCAGAATTGTTGGAGGTTGTTGTCTCCCCTGTGACGTCATATTTTTGGATGGACGAAAGAGCAGACAGAATCAAATCTCTAACCTTACTGTACTCCGCTTTGTTGCCAGATCTTTTGCAATTCGTGATGTCTTTTGATCGTGCATGCCTCACTGGTACCACTTCCTTGCCGTCACCAGTCAAACTTTGCCAGATCCTTCCGTCTTGTCTTCTTTGCCAGATCCTTCCACTCTGGCGCAATGCCATGCCAATACCGGTGGTACCATCGAACAGATGAGCCTCAACACAGATAGATGAGCTTCACAATATAACATCCGTCTATGAGGTTGCATCAAGTCAAGAAGTCAATCAATCAATCAATCAATCAATCAATCAGGAGACATGATGATGCGCCAACGAGGCACTGCTGCCGTCGAGGCGAGGTCAGATGGTGATCTTACCTCTCTTCCGGAGAGGTCGCCACATAGACACCACAAGAGATCCAGGCGCTTGTTGGAAGCTTCTCCCGCTTCCATTGTCACTACTGTCCTGGCCCTTACGGCAATGTTGGTTTTGGTCCTCTCCCCATCAACCACTACTTCTGCCTTGCGCAAGCTCTCGGCAGCTCCATCATACTACTTGAGGGAAGATGATGGCCCTCCTTCGGATCTGGTGGTTCATGGCAAGCGGGACTATTACACTCCCTGTCCTCCTGAATTCCGAAAGCGTGCTTGGGCCGGTTTTGACAAAGATACCAATGTAGTTCGTGCCTTTCGATCACAAGGGTGGTATGCCCAGAGTGAAGACGATGTCAGTTGGGACGACAAGAAAGCCATTGCCACCTACAGGGTCTTGTACATGCGAAAATCAAGGCATAAGAGAGATTTTGCCGTGGGTCTGCCATGGCAACGATTCAGTCGTATTCCCGGGGGTACTCTCTTGGGACCAAAGGATTCCTTTTTCAAACGACTGAATACCATGCAAACACAGTACGATGCCACTCACGATGATGGCCGAAATCTCATCTACTTTCTTCCGGAAACCTATCAATTGGAACAAGAACATGATCGTAATATGTTTACGTCGAGAATTCTGGAAGAAAAGAAAATGGGACGCAATCGACCATGGGTATTGAAAAAGGCCAAAATCAACAATGGCCGTGGAATTGAAATGCTACCGCCCGACTCTCCAGCCCTCTACAGTGCTGCAGCGAGAGCCAAGGAAGATGACGACAACAACTACATTGTGCAATCCTATGTTTGCAATGAACTGACATGGTTCAATGGCAAAAAGTTTGATCTCAGGTTCTATTGGCTCGTTGCCAGTGTGGACCCATTGATTGTCCTCTACCATGATGGATATGCACGTGTTGCAGGGGCCGTGTACAATGAATCCGACTGGGGATCTACAGGGCAGCATCTGACCAACCATGAGTACCGAACAGCAATGGGAGTGCCCACGGATGAGGATGTCATGTGGGATGCACTCTGGCGAAGAGTGAGAGAACACTATAATGCCGACTATGCCCGACTGTCCAAACTGATTGTTGGTGATGACCCGGTTAGGCATGTGCGCAATCAGATCAAAGAGGCCATTAGTGCAACAGTGGAAGCGTTCAAAGACTCAATGCCCGCAAAGAAAGAAAGCACCCCAATAACCACAGAGAATCTGTTTGCATTCTATGGTTCCGATTTTATCATTGACGCTGACTTGGATGTTTACTGTCTCGAGGCTCAAACAAGTCCAGGACTGGGGCAGAGTTATGATTTCCGAATTGATATGTTTCGAAAGCTTTTTCGCCCCATGGTCAACATTGTCGAAGAAATTGCTGACAAGCAGGAAAAGGATGCAAAGGCAAACCTGTTGCCTATCAAGTCACTGGAAGACTATGAGATTGTTTATGCAGATGGATGGCGATATCAATTCAAAGGCTATGAACGGCAGAAAGATAAGAAGGGATGCCAGCTGTCCCCAAGTGAATGAGTTGATGGCAGAGGTGGGAGCAATGTGGTTTGTTTTGGCAGCAGACCAATTAGCCCAGCACCAAAATGGGTTCCGATTGATCGTTCCTGCTGTCGATTGTTCTGGCTAGCTAGAAGCCGTAGTGGCACTTCTTTAGAAACACAGATTCGAATTTTCTTTTTGATTTGCTTTGATGGCGTTGTGCGTGGAGACGAGACCTCGAGCTAGCTACTGTACCGGTGGTACTGGCTACTAGCTACCGGTAGCCAGCTAGACCTCGAGCTAGCTATTGTACCGGTGGTACCAGGTACTGGCTAGCTCGCTAGAAGGCTCGTAATTTGGATGGACAGACTCCACCAAATCGCTAACCTTACTGCACAATCATTCTTTTTTGCCAGATTTTTCTTGACCACAACGGGGGATCTTTGGACGTGCGTTCAATTTGGCTCCTCCATACCGGAGCCCTCGACACCGTGAGAGGCAAATGACAAGTCGTACAAATCAAACTTTGCCAGTTCCTTTCCTCTTGTCCTTTCTTCCAGACTCTCTACCGGTATCTTCTTTGCCAGATCCTTCCACTCTGGTGTCATGCCACTCCCACAGAGACACAGATGAGCCTCACAACATCCATCCCTGAGGTTGGATCAAGAATTCAATCAATCGATCAGACATGATGATGCGCCAACGCAGTGCTGCTGTCGAGATGAAGTCAGATGTAGATCTTACCTCTCTTCCGGACGGGGCGCAGCATAGTAGACACAACCCAAGATCCAGGCGATTTTTGGAATCTTCTCCCACTTCAATTCTCACTGCTGCCCTGCTCCTTACCGGAATGTTGGTTTTAGTCCTCTCTCCACCTACCACTATTTCCGCCTTGCGCAAGCTCTCGGCAGCTCCATCATACTACTTGACGGAAGATGATGGCCCTCCCCCGGATCTGGTGGTTCATGGCAAGCGGGACTATTACACTCCATGTCCTCCTGAATTTCGAAAGCGTGCTTGGGTTGGTTTTGAGAAAGATACCAATGTGATTCGTGCCTTTCGATCACAAGGGTGGTATGCTCAAAGCAAAACTGATGTCAGTTGGGACGACAAGAAAGCCATTGCCACCTACAGGGTCTTGTACATGCGGAAATCAAGGCATAAGAAAGACTTTTCTGTAGGTCTGCCATGGCAACGACTCAGTCGTGTTCCGAGCGGTGCTGTCTTGGAGCCCAAGGATTCCTTTTTCAAACGACTGAATACTTTGCAAGAACAGTATGATGCCACGCATGATGACGGCCGAAATCTCATTTACTTTCTTCCAGAAACCTATCAATTGGAACAAAAAAACGATCGTCACAAGTTTGTTTCAAGAATTATGGAGGAAAAGAAAATGGGACGCAATCGACCATGGGTATTGAAAAAGGCCAAAATCAACAATGGCCGTGGAATTGAAATGCTACCGCCCGACTCCCCAGCCCTCTACAGTGCCGCAGCGAGAGCCAAGGAAGATGACGACAACAACTACATTGTGCAATCCTATGTTTGCAATGAACTGACATGGTTCAATGGCAAAAAGTTTGATCTGAGGTTCTTTTGGCTCGTTGCCAGTATTGACCCCTTGATTGTCCTCTACCATGATGGATATGCCCGTGTTGCAGCGGCCAAGTACAATGAATCCGACTGGGGGTCTACAGGGCAGCATCTGACCAACCATGAGTACCGAACGGAAATGGGAGTGCCCACTGATGAGGATGTCATGTGGGATGCACTCTGGCGAAGAGTGAGAGAACATTATAATGCTGACTATGCCCGACTGTCGAAACTGATTGTGGGTGATGACCCTGTCAGGCATGTGCGCAATCAGATCAAAGAGGCAATTAGTGCAATAGTGGAAGCATTCAAAGACTCACTGACAGAGAAGAAAAAGGACACCCCAGTAACCACAGAGAACCTTTTTGCATTCTATGGGTCAGATTTTATCATTGACGCTGACTTGGATGTTTACTGTCTCGAGGCTCAAACAGTTCCAGGACTGGGGCAGGGTACTGATTTCCGAATTGACGTGTTTCGAAAGCTTTTTCGTCCTGTGGTCAACATTGTCGAAGAAATTGCTGACAAGCAGGAAAAGGATGCGAAGGCAAACCTGTTGCCCATCAAGTCACTGGAAGACTATGAAATTGTTTATGCAGATGGATGGCGATATCAATTCAAAGGCTACGAACGACAGAAGGACAAGAAGGGATGCCAGCTGTCTCCCAAGTGAATATGAGTTGATGGCAGAGGTGGGAGCAATGTGGTTTGTTTCTGCATCAGACCCTGTACGAGTACCAATACATGACAACTATATCGAACCTATGTCAGCCTCGCTTCCCTAGTAACTGCTCAGTAGTACATGTCTTTTTGAAATTGAGTGTCTTCAAAGGCCCAAAAGTAGGATCTGCATAAACCACTGAAGACGGCACAGAGTGGCTGCAAACTATTCGGTAAACGGAGCGGTACGTTGCATCTTTGGGCTACCACCATCTTCCAATGTGCAGTTAGCTAAAGCAGATTTACATTTGTTCATAACCATCTTCTTCTACAAGCTGTATAACTCCTTCCTTCACAGAAGCCACACGGCATAAACTTTGCACTGGTATCCCGAAGCCTGACAAACTCTGACGTCCGCTGTCGTAGACCTTTTCCAAGAGCACGCCCACACCCACAGCTTCGGCCCCTGCTTCCAGGACAATCCGCAGCAGAGCTTCTTGGGACGCACCACTCGAGAGAAAATCATCCACAATAAGAATGCGTTCGCCTTCGTCAATATGATCAGCCGAAACCAAAAGCTCCCGGTTCTTCCCGACTGTTTTGCTCGAGTATCCGGCCTGGAACGTGTTGGCCATGACCACGCTGCGCTCTTTTCGTGCATAAACCACGGGAACTTGTAGATACTTGGCCATTGGCAAAGCAATCACCAACCCTGTGGTTGCCACTGTCAGTATCTTGGAAGGTCGCAAGTCCACAAACCGCTTGGACTGGAATAGCAAAACGGGCAGTGGGGTGTCAGTCAAAAAGTAAGTCACAAACAACAGGAACTACACGCAAAAGACGCCTGCTAGGCTTCTTACCAACTCCTGTGCACAGTCATCCATCAGGTTCACATCCACCTTGCTATCCATGAATGCAGAAACATCAATAATGTCATTGGGGAGTACCTTGGCTTCCTTCAACACTCGATCACGAAGCTTGAGGCTGGCTTTTCCATAGGCTCCCAGGGCATCATCCACTCGTTGCCGCAGCCACTTTTGATATTCCAATCCAAATGTCAATTGTAGTTTCTTCATGATTTCGTTAATGGCCTGCGCCATTGGTATAAATGTGCGCATGGAATTGGCAAAGTAAATGTCCACGTCCGCGACTCCATAGTCAAACAACTCCATGTCTCCATCGTAGTAACACAGACAGGATCGAAATCGGGTGACTCGGGTGGGTTCGGAGAATAGTTTGAGTGCTTCGCACATGTAGTCGACATGCGATCCAATATCGTTGAACCGATAGCCAGACGAGACTCGGGGATTATCGTCTGGTCGACCGTATTGTTGTTGTTTGGGTGGGATCGGTTCAATTTCAAAGGACGTACGAGAGGCAATGCAGGGCAGTCCCGTCACCTCGTAGACTTGTCGGGCTTTGTACGAGGCAATATCCTCAATGGTGTATTCAATGCAGTCTTCCACGCGACCATCTTGCCAGTCCCCAAAGTTGTCGGCAAACTGGACTCCGTAGTTTCGAAAGGTACCCATCAGATTGTTGAAGCAGGCATTATCAATGGCACTGACCCACATTTGATCGTATCCTTCAATAGCATTGGGTTCCAGGGAGGTAAAGTAATCCTTTGCCACCGGGCTGTTCCGTGCTTTTTCCAGCCTAGTGCTTTGGATGGTGACGCCCTTGATTCTCTGCTGAAATTCCTCTTCTGCCTTTTCCTTATCTTCTTCATTTTCTTCCAAACTATACTCGGAGTCGTCACCAATCAATTCCTGGAGTCTGGATTTGATTTCGTCATTGGCTTCTTCATCGGGATCCATGTTTTGTTCGTCACCCCAGTGATCCCATGGTTCATCATTTTGCACCCACGAAAAGGTATTGTCGTCGTCTTGTTGTTCCCATTCCTTGAGTTGGTCTTCCAGAGGAATCCCGTCATCATTGAGTGTATTGTCGTCGTCTTTCATACCTTCCATTAAAGCCACTAGATCATCGTCGAGCCAATTTTCCTTGACGGAAAAGGCCGTGAATTCCTGGAGCGTCGCTTCGGCAGCTTTTCGATCCATCACGGGTGTCCCATCCGCAGCCTCGTCCATCATGGTGCGACCGCTACTGCCGGGCATACCACCCATTCCCGCCATGCGGCCCATGCTGTTGCCCGCGGCAGTCTTGACGGCATTGGCATACATGGTGGTAGCAGAGCCCAATAGCCGTGTTCCTTCGGGGGCTTCCACGGGAGGATTATTAATATTATTGTCATTGTTGTTGTCGCCGGGAAGTTGATTCATGAGCCGCTGGCGTTCCATTTCTTGCCAAAAGACGTCTTCGGGAGACGCATTGTCGTCTACATCTTCGTACCATCGATCCAGGTCGTCTTGGTCTTGCCGCTTTCGATTTCGTTTCGCCAGCAATTGCACGACTCTTGTGGCACGAGATGTGGAAGATTTGGCTGTCAGGAACAACGACTGTGGAGCCCAGCCAAAGGTGGCATGAGGGACGGCTCTACTGGAAAGCAAAACCAACAGGAACTGGACCCTCCATGGACCTGAAAACATCCTCCTCAATGCCATGGTGCTTCTCATTCTAACTACCTACTCCAGTACTAGCTAGCTAGCTGGCTAAAAGAGAATAGACGGACACCAGTTATCGTACTAGGATGCCGACGAGGATACTTACTTGTATTCTGATCAAGATCTTGGAGGGACGAGGGCTCTGATGTTTCGGTTGGGTTGACAACCTTACTGACGTCAGATTTAGACACGCTCGTGAACGAAAGATTGAAAAAGTCGATTGAAGGATCGAATGATGATTGAGTCGAATCGAATCATTCGATTGATTTCGATTCGATGCGAATGACTCAATTTCGAATCGGATTGAATCAATTCGATGCTCCGCAGCTCCGCCACACCACCTCTCCGCAGCTTCCGACAGCGCGGAGTCGAGTCCGACAGCACCACGACAAACACCATCCATTGCTCAATAACCCAGCGTCTAGCTAGCTAGCTAGCTATCATCAAGACTACTCTGAGAGGCCCAGGAAATGTGTTGTTGGGTGTTATAGGGTCCATAGTCGGTACTCATCAGTGGCTCAGTCTCATCTTGTCACCTGTTGTTTTCCATCTGGCAGATTCTGTCATCCCAACATCTGGCAGAATCTGTCATCCCAATTTTGGAGGTCACCATGATGAGCTCACTTTTTTGTTCAACCGGATTGCTAGAGTTGCATACCCAACAGAACAAGGAAGACTTTCGCGATTGTTGATAAGCCTAGGCCAGATCAACCCCCCTACTTTCAATTACCTTTTCTACCAATCTTCTATTCAATACCTATCAATTGCAAAATGAAGTTCTCTTCTTCTATCATCAAGCTGCTCTCGTGGTCATGGACCACCTACAACAACAACAGCACCAAGAAGACCCCCGTTCTCCAGGTCGCCAAGGAGACGACGGGCAACAACAACAAGGATGTTCCTGCGGCAGAGGAAGTCCCAATCAAGTTCCAACTGGACGAGTTGGACAAGACATGCATCGAAACAGCGGCACTGTTGCACAACTATGGAACGAATCCTGATGTGGAGTTCCAGCAGCACGGTCGCTACCTAGGTGCCTACGACCTTTCCCTGGTTCCATCGGATCAGCATGGTCACTACGGATACGACAAATACAACCAGCACCGGCCCAAAGGCTGTCACATCCAACCCAGTCAATCAGCCAACGCTCACTGGAAGGCCCATTACGGTCAAGACACCGAACGGAGCAATGGAAACCGTTTATCCTTTGCTCCCGTCAACACTGTAGTGGGGTACTCTTCTGATGAGAGCGAACAAGAAGAAAAACGTGATGTCTATCGAGACATTAAGAAACAAGAGCCACATGCCCGATACGAATTCTGGCATGAAGCCCAACAACAATTCATTTCCGTCGGCACACCCACACCCCACGAACGCGTATTGGATCTCGTGCAGTTGATTCAAGAGTACGGATACCAACAAGTGGCCAAATGGATCACCAACAACAAATGGTTTCAAAGCGACAAAGCGTACCTACAAAAAGCCAAACTGTACATTCAAATTGATGCCGTTCATCAAGACCTCGAGGGACTTGTTCGTTTTATCCAGGCGAAGAAAGGAAACGACAAGCAAGTCTCCCATTGGTTCATGGTCAACGAAAAGAACCCTTACATGTTCGAACTCGCCATGTGCCACTTGCACCACGGAGGAATTCAGCGCAACGCTGACGACGAAATTTGCACCTTGAATACGCGAGAACAGATTGCCAAACGACGATTTGTCTATCGCAAGGTCAAGGACGTCTGCATGGAAGATGCAGCACCCGTAGTAGTAGAGCAACAACCAACAACAACTAAAGACGTCGAGGCAATAGAAAAAGTCTCGACCGTCGACGACAACAAGATGGCATCCGATGCCACAATCACATGCGAAGCAGCGGTGGCTCCCACATGCACAGCAGTGGTCCCCTACGTTCAAAAGTGGCATGTGACACACTTCAAGATCAGTGTGCATGGACAACAACCATTTGTATTGGAGATGCGAATGATGAATGGTGTGCTACTTGGAGTTGTACCCAGCGACATTCTCGCAGCATTGATGAAGGATGGTGGAGACCTTGTCAAAGAATTGATGCGGCGACACAAGACACTACGATTGGAGGCAGGCGTTGCCTTGGACAATACGGATTACGAATTCGTGACTGGCCAAGTGGAAGCTGAAGAACCACTGGTCGAGGTCGAGGAACAACAACAAGTTGATACTGAAGAACCACTGGTCGACAACCGAGTCGACGAGGAGGACAATGTGGACACAGCACAATCAACTTTGCGACGATCAAAGAGACGCATGGCGGCGATTGCATCTCAGAGAATTGCAGAACAAATGAAGCCACGGCGGGTGGCAGAACAACCTAGAATTAAACGTAGCAAGAAGAAAAAGTCGACCAAGCCAAAGGCGAAGGGCAAGAAGAAGACAACGACACCTGTGACGGATACACAGCAGCAAACAACAGTTCAGACAACAACAACAAGTCGATCTGGACGGCGAGTAAGACAGCCTGACCGGTACATTCCATGCTAGATCGACAACAGGTAAGCGATGACGGATTGCGGGATCTACTAACACATGAATACAATACACAAAGAGCAAGCATCTGGTGGGGTGCAGGGCTATACAACAATTTTGCGGAGATGAATACAGTTGGTTCAATTGAAGGGTCACATCGAAGGTAGCCAGGTTTGTGGTTCCTGTGCTAGGCAGCCTCTATTGCAGAGTGCTTGTCCGAACGTCCTCCACGAGACGAAAGTCCAAAGTTAATACCCGTGACACCCGACAACCAACCTCTATCATTGTTGATGCTATGCTACAATCTTAAATACAATCAAACATAGACATAGAACAATAACACATAGTAGACAATCTTTACAAACAAAAATCATGGCTTCATTCTTTACATGTAGTAGTTGTACTAGTACTAGTAGCTAATGGTAGTTCATAATCATAGTCATTGTAGGGCAAGCCTGGACCCTCGTGTCCTGAGCTGTCCCATTCGATTCTTCTTCCGTCTTCCGTGCAGGGTGTGTGAGTCGATTCAATCTTCAATCGCTCTGCCTCACGATGTGCCACTGCACACCAAGCTACTAGCCAGTGCTGGGACCAAAATAACCTGCCCCCTGCACCTGGCCCAAGCCCTGATCGGACATCAGGAACAACACCCTGATCAACAGAGCCAACACCAAAGTTCTACGGCCCTGCCGGCCCTGCCCCCTCTTGTATTATCCGATTCCTGATCCAACAAGGACCACCAACACAAGGACAACGCAACGCCCTACTCTAATACCTGGCTGGCAGTGCACCACACCTAGAACTTGCCCTGCGGCAAAACGGTCCACTAGGAGCAAGCTTGGTAACGATGCTTCTGCTACCACCGTCCCTCGTATCTCGTATCCCTTTGATGTTGGAAAAGCATCCCTCCGAAGCTGCTGCGTCAAGTACAATAGAATCGTTATTAGCTAGCTAGCAATATGAGGATGAGGTCATGTCTCTCGACCTTGCTTGGCTCTACGACCAAGCTCGAGAGAGATTCGATGTGCAGTGCGCTGGATGGTTGACAGAGCCAAGGGTATTCTCCGGCCGCTCTAGCCAGCAAGAGTTCAAACTTGAAGCTTTGTCGAAATGACGAGGAAACAGTACCGGTACTGATTTCAATCAAGGAATTTGCCGTTTCTCAGTTTCTTTGGATCCATGTCTGTCAAGGCTATCTGTTGTGGGCAGGCTGCTCGCCAATAGATTCGCTTGAAGTATGACTCGGGGTTTGACATGCTCGAGTCCAGGAATTGCCCATCGTAGTATTTGATGAACGGCAGTCGGTAGTAGCATTTGGCTGCATCGCCCCCAACAAAGGCTAATCGATCATTGATGCCTCCATTCGTTCGGTGCCTCGACGTCATCATGCCAGTGGCTTCAAGGTTTCGACGTATCTCCTCCACATTGATTGGCTCTTCGAAACCTACATCATCTCGAGCCCTGACATGAAGGCTATAGTTGAACCCCTTAGCGACCGCTGCATCCCAGCATTGGGTGTAACTGTCGGCCATTTTGAAATTTGCACGGAGCCTAGCCCAAAGCATGTCTAAACATCAGCCAAGTCAAATGACAGCGATATTAGTGGGGCGCAAAAACATGCAATTGTCAATTTGCGGCGCATCCACGCGTACTTACGATCAAATTGCTCAAGCTTCATAGTGGTGTAGTCTTTTTGAGGAATAAATATCCCATTGCGACCCATTTGAATAACATACTGCGGATTCGCCGCTTGATTTGGATTGGGAGTGTAAGTTGAGTGACGGTTCACCCAAGAAATGTTTTGGTGGCGATGATGATGAAACCATTTCACGACGTCTCTTTTATTGCGGAAAGAGGTTCCATTAATGATGTCATTGAAAACGGCACTCGCCTCATCGGTGGGTGCTTTGTTGTAAGTCGCATTCCCATCGCCTAGTACCATAGCAACGTCCACATGATCATAGAACCCTGATTCAAGTAGCGGTTTGATGATTGTTCGTAGCTTGTTCGCCATCTCCAGCCGCCCCACCTGTCCGGTAATGCAAACAAAGGCACGTCTAGCGGCTGGCTCAAGCTGCCGTTCGCGAGGTTCGAGTGCTTTTGAATCATCAGCGAGGGGGTATGGGACCGGAAAAAGGTTACTGTTTGGTGGTTCTCTCATCACAATCTTGGAGTAGACATGCTGCAAGAACTGTGGCAAACTTCTAATTTCAGTATGTCCCTGATCCGACTGTAATCCGAAGGTCCCCTCTTGATAAAACTCTTTGATTGGCCTTTCCAAGTACTCTCGAGCCATCCCTGCATCAGGCAACGACATAACATCGATTTGATCGACTCCATGGCCACGTTTGGTGGTACACGGGAGGTGATAGTTCTTGATGTGGGTAGTAGCCAGAAGTGCTGCATTGAGGGGCTTTGCAAGGATGGCATCTTCTCCGGCTCGGACTACAATGACTCTATTGTTGGTATTGGTGTCGTTGGCAAGTCGGCCCAGAAATTCTCCGCACTGTTTGTACTGATTTAGCAATCGGACATCATTTACGGCTCTCCAAATGGTCCGTTCAAAGTTGTCTCGTCTAATCTCTCCATCTTCAAAGGTGCCACTGATTGCAATAGCTCGTACGTACTCCAAGTTCACAGGTGGATTGACCAACGGTGGTTGGATGTCGATGATGATCTTGTTTCTTCGAAGGCGAGGCATCTGACGCCTTAAATAACCAAGAATATCATACTTGGAGCGAAAGGATCGATTTGGGCGTGCCTGCAACGTCAGATTCAATAGCTGCTCTTTGCCTTGGAAACGACTGAAAAGATCGTACTGATCCGCAAGTTGCGAATGATTGGTAATGAGACGACCGCCTCCGTACAGTGCCTCTTTATAAAAGGAGTAGGGCTCTCGAAAAGCCATGAAATCCGAGTCATAAGGAGCTTCCTTGGTGAGAGTGGCGGTATTGATGCTGTCATCTTGCAGTACCATGGCGATGTGTAAGCTGTCATTGGCTGTAGAATTCGAAAGAGGCCGGAGGAGATTTTCGATTTTGTTCTCGAGTTCTAGATCTCCGAGAACCCCCGTAATACAAACAAATACCTGATTGTCTTCTTGTTCTTGTAGGCGCTCTTTGGTGCTTGTCCCGGCCGCAACCGAAACTTGCGAAGTTCCTTGAGTAGTGTTTTGCCGCTGAAGAACTTGCTGCTTCATAAACTGAGCGAGTTGATGTTGAAGTTTGACATCTGCCGCTTCTCGACTTTCGGACCATGGAGGTGTGTCTTTGGATTCTTTTGCGGTGCCAGCACCTGCTTCTGTTTTTATGACCATGGGTGTTGGTGACTGCATGATTGGTTTCCTGGCTCCGATGGCGTCACTTGAGTTCTTTATGTTTCGGTCCAAGTATGGGCTTCTCCTCAGGTTTGCTTTTCTCGGTTGATCAGTGGCATGATAGTACGTTCTCAGTGAATATCCCTTGAGCTGACTGAATGTCGTGAGCGTCGACAGAACAGCGAAGGCCACGATCATGGAAACCTTCATGACTTGCTTGGGAGGTTGCATTTGCCAAGTCATGGTCAGGTTTTAAAATAAAAGAGATGGATTCTTTCGCCTTTAGAAGAGCCGATGGAATCGAGGCTCTGAAGATCAATGCAAGGCAGACGATCCATGGATGGTCGTTTTCGCATGGAAATGTGGAGAGAAGCCATTGCAAGTCTTGCAGAACCGCCAAAATTTCCAAGGGATTGATTTTCAGCGTTTCCCGTGATTTGAAGTCATTCCCTGCTGCCTGTCTGAAACTACGACTGGCTGGCTTTCGGGAACAACGCCCGCCGGATTCTGCTGACGCAGTTTTTACTCGAGACGATCCAAATTGGGAGTTGGTGGCCAACAGAGTCCCATGGTGGTACGACTGTACCAACGTACCAGTACCAACTCCCCCTCACGGCCTCGTACCAGGTACAGTACTAGTACCCTCCCGAAAGGTAGCTGCCCACTGCTCGCGGATCGAAAGGTGACCAAGCAGAGCATGAAGAAAACTGCGAAAGCAAGACCTGGACAATTTCGAAGGAGGCAGGTATGATTCTAAAGTGAAGTGTAGGAACAATAGCCACATGTAGAGCAACATCAATACCGTACTCGAGTAGGATCTCTCATCTCTCGCCTCTCGCTTCCATACGAGCCGCAGAGTTGAGTGAGCTTATCGACAATGAGCCGAACATGTAGGCATACAGACATAGCGCTTATTTCCGCAATGCCCGCCAGCAAGCAAGGCATCTTTGCTTGCATCAGATTCTTCGTTTTGCCTGGAAGAAGAAAAGTGACCATACGACCATACCGCCTTGCCGCCTTGGCGGCACTACAGTTTCAGCAATTATTGCCCGTATATCACATGAAGACGACGAAACACTCCATCTCTTTTACCATGCTGCAGCTGTCGAACAGGAGGCATTGCCAATAATTCCCATGAGCCATCAGCCTCCGTGATACTCTAGCTAGTCTAGCTATTTCTCCAGTTAGCTAGTGGACTAGCAGTCCTTAAGCTACGCGGGAGTCCTCCAGACAGAGTCCAGAGTACTCCTCTCATCAGTGGCCAAGAAAAGTCCTCGAGATGAACCGGAAACCGGAAACATGTATGTCACAACATCAATCTGGAAGCAGTTGCTTTGTTGATTCAGGTGCTTCTAATCATCTACTCTAGTACTGTATCCAGGGTTGCTGGTTCAACTAATTTTGGATACGAACTCTGTTCATGACAAAAGTTCGGGTAACGTAATGCTCATGAACTGAACCAGTTCGTGAATACGCCAATTTTGAGCAGCCTCGTGAACCAATTCATGAACCCATTCGTGAACCAAAACCTAGGGTTATGGTTAGCAAATACAGGGTTATGGTTAGCAAATACAGGCTGTATGCTCGTATTCAAGAACAAAACGCCGATACATTGGGTCACCAAACCTGGCACAAGTGTAGCTGGTGGATAGTTGGACTGAAGGTGGCTTTGCAAGTCAGGAAAATTTTGCTTACTAGACCTGTGTTGCCTCATTTATGGTGCAGAATTCTCATGAACCAATAATGTGGAAAAGTTCACCAAATTTTGTATTCTGATGAACTTTGAACCTAGTTCATGAGTGGCCCAAACCCCCCATGAACCACTTCATGAACGTGCGCTTCATGAACCGGTTCGTGAACCCTAATTGAACTATTTCATGAAATATTAATTGAACCAGCAACCCTGACTGTATCTATCTTTCAAAAGATCCCTATAAGGCGCTGCAACCCCATCGTGTGAAGCTCGGAAGCGTCAGAAGTGCGTTTTCCCATGACTCTGCCCTTCTTCGCAGCTTCTTCGCAGCTTCTTCGCTTCTACGAGTGCACACGATGCGCCTGGAGATTCTGGCTTTGACTACTGAAAGCTGAAAGTACTGAAAGCCATGTGAGACAGTGAGGGGCAAGATAGATGGTAACGCAAACAAAGAGCTGGGGTTGGCTACGGCTGTACGCATAACTGGCTACTGCTTTCCGACCTCTCAAAGCTCGAAGGTCCGAGTTGCACTCCCGCGATGCTTGAACGTAAACGCTTTGACGTTTGCTTGCTGATGCTGATCTGAGAGCACCAAAGAAGCTGCGAAGCTGGGAGCCACTTTTGGCGAACTGTGCCAGAAGCAAGATAATAAATAATAAAAATAATATTGCACAGAAGCCTACAAAGAGAGTAACATGCGTTCTTTTCACTCCGGGGAGATAATGATGTCTTCACCATTGGAGTGATCAAACCAGCGAAGGCACAACTAGTTAAAAACTCACTTTCTCTTTCGCTGCACTTCCTGGAATCCTTTGCAGTCCAAGAACCCTTATCTTGGCTGTTGAAGGCTGTTGAAGGAGCACGTGACTCCATTTTTCAGCTACCATGATTGGCCAATAAACATCACCTTGAAAGTCAATCCTGTTTTCGTAATCTCGATTGCCAAGAGCAGAAGGTAGCTGTACCGCCATTGTCAATCTCGGGAACATGGAGATATTTTGTTGACTCTTGCCGTTTTGCTGGTTAAAACTCCACGCAGAAAAACGACCTCCGAAAAACGACGAATTAACGATGTATCCCATCGACTGGCGCGCAGAGGCAGAAAGTGCCAATTCGAACCCCACCCCCACCCCCAATGGTGCTTATTTTGCGGGGGGAGGGGGAGGCATCGATTTGGAGAAGTCTGCCTCTGAAAAGGAATCTCGAGGACGGAATCTTTGTTTTGTCTAGTAATTTAGCTCTACCAAGCAAGTCAGCTTTCTTCTTCCTCAGTGCGTGGTATCTGTAATGAGAAAGAAAGATGGCCAATGGTTAGTTGAATCCTTCTTCATTGAACAGACCAAACAACAGTGTATCTTACCATGGCTGACAGTGCAAAGAGGCTCAGTAGAAGGCAGGCAGGTGCATCTCCAGAGATAAAGGAGACACCCAAGCAGTTGTCCTCTATCCATAGAAGAGATAGGGAGAGACAGCTAGGGGATTGGACCTTCTTCCCACCTGGAAGGAACAGCCACACCAAAGTGACAAAAGTGGAGGGAATAGACTTTCAATCTCCAAATGTTCCTGCCAGTGCAGTCAAGAAGTCTCATGTCACTCCCATTTCCAGTGCTGAGCGGCGCAGTAGGATGAAAGTAAAAAAGAATCCATTCCTTAGCAACAAAGGAGTACTCAATGATAAACCTTCTGCCAAGTCGGACAACAAGCGTTGTATCATAGAGGAAAAGGGAATGTCGGAACTAATTGAGAGGAATACTATTTGTTCTCATTGCAAGAAGAGTCCAGTGAAACTTACCTTTCGTCATTGTGGTATAGCCACCATTCCTCGATTGTCTTGCAATACTTGTTCAGTGGTTGATGAGGGTGATGTGGCGAAGACAAATTGGCAAAAGATGACTGCCCATGAGCAACTTACCGACTATGAGCTGAACTTCAAGTTTGTGCAGGCCTTTGTTGGTTGTGGCGATGGTCCAACTGAAGCTAGTCGGTTCCTAACTTTCTGTTCTGTGCCGAATGCAACAACCATGAAATCGAACACGTTCGGCAGTATGGAAACTGCCGCATCTTCCACGATCGAGGAGATTACCAGAGAACAGCTAACAGCAAATCTGATGAAGGAAGTGGAACTGACAATGTCGGAAGATAATGACTTCGATTTCGAATTGTGGAAAAGGAACTTCAAGAATGGTCGTCCAAGATGCAGCAAAAGCAGTGCCAGAGTTAGCTGTGGAATGGACATGGGATGGCAAAAGAAAGGAAGTGGTCGGACTTACGATTCCCATTCTGGTCATGCATGTTTGTTCGGAGCACGGTCGAGGTTGCCCATTGCATTGAGTACCAAATCCACTCATTGCTCAATCTGCAGCTGGCATCGTGCCAAAGGCAACAATCCACCTGAACACACTTGTAAAATCAACCACGCTGGAACAGCTGGAGCCATGGAGTCCAACGCTCTGCTTGACATGATCCACGAGTTGTGGAATACGTTCAACGTGCAGGTGGAGGAAGTGATAACTGACGATGACAGTACAATGAGGGCAAGTTGTCGATGGTCAAACAAGGATTGGATGAAACATGAGAATCGAACCGACATCAATCTGCGACGCGATAGTCGAGGAAAATGGGTGAAGCGAAAAGAAGGGTATCTTCAATACCCGATACCACCCCCCACGTTTCTTGCCGATCCAGCTCATCGGAAAAAGAGCTTGAAAACTGTTCTGTACAAATTGAAAAGAAGAAAAAGTGTGTCAACAAAGGCCTTCAAGAAGGTGACATCATCCGTTTGTCCCAATTCTATATTTACATGGTACGTCAAAACTTGAAGTATCCTGAAGAAGAATGGGTAGAGAGAGCCGAATGTTGCTTGGATCATCTGTTCGACTGTCATGGAAACTGCGGTGATTGGTGCGTCCGGAAAACTGCCACCGAGGAGGAAAAGCAACAATCAACGAAAGTATACCGTGACATGGTGAAGGATAAGGAACTGTACGACCTGTTGAAAGAAGTGATGCAGCCATTTACAACAATAGAAGCGATGAGGGAGGTTTGTCATGGATATGATACCAATCCCAATGAATCGTTGAACAATACAATCAGCTGGCTAGCACCGAAGAACAAAACTTACTGTGGTTCGGTGTCCCTTCGAAACCGAATCTGTACAGCAATCTGCATTCAATCGATGGGGTTTGACGGATTCTACCAACGGCTTTTTCAGCGACTGGGTTTGGAGATGGATGATTTGACGTTGCACCGAATCAGAAAGGTTGAGGAACAAAGGGCGTATCGGTTGAAGCAATCCAGGAAAACGAAGAACAAGAAGATTCGTCAAGAAAAGAATTACCTGAAGATCAAGTTGTACTTTGAGAAGTTGGCAGAGGATAGAGCGAACGGCAAGGAATACAAAAGGGCGATTGCCATGGTGGGTAGACAAAAAAGTTCGAAACAGAGCGTACAATGTGGATTTTGTGGGCTTTATGGCCACAAAACCAAGCGAGCGAAGGCTTGCTTGTTCAATCCGAAGCGATTGGCAGAGCAGGCGACCACCAATGATCATTCAGAAGTAACCGGCGATGAAGAAGATAAAGGGACGGTCTTGCTTGACGACGATACAAAGTTTGGGCTGGAAGTATCCTTACTGGACAGTTTGCCGATAAGAGAGGACGATTCGGAAGACTTGGACGGTTTGGCGAACGATCTGGATGTTTGCGATATCGCCGTGGAGGAATGAATACAATTTTTTTGATAGTAATCACTAACATTTATCGGGCTTATCTTTTCTCTTCAACTAGCGATGTCTCCATTCACAACCACCAATCGAACAACCACTTGACACTATCCATTCAACTGACACGAGTGCGTGTAGCACATACCACTACTCCGAATCGGAACTGGAACTGACCTCATTTTCCTTTCCTTTCGATTTCGAAAAAGCTTTCTTATTTGCACTCTTCGATTCCACCATGGTCAACTTCTTGGCCTTCTTGCCGGTGTACCTCTCGGCCGCTCTCTGCCTCTTTGTCTTGAAACCGGTGTAGAGGGCACTGGCTCCACCGTAGCACTGCTTGATGTACTTCTCGACACACCACGGAAGAGGAGAACACTCACCTTTCGACGAACGAAAGAAGTTGCTATGGTAGTGTTGGTAGCAACACCACCTTTGGTTTTGTTCCCGCAACCTCTTCCCAATCATGCTGGATCCATGGCTGTGCGGGTGCTGCAAAAGGTGAGCAAGGCTTGGATCACTCGCAATCCTGTCATCTACATGTCGATAGTGTACTGTTTGGCGATGCAATCTTTGTAAATAAATGTACTGATGCACGCACACTCAACTACTTTTTCGTCATCGTCGGACTCTTCCCACAGATCACGCTTCTTGGCAGTTGCAGCCTTCTTGTCATTCATACGCTGATCCCAGCACTTCCTGGTATCGCCCGACATGATCCAATGACCTTCAGAATACTCGGATCGAAGAACGTCAGACCTGACATAGGAATTCCAGCGATGGGCCTGTCGGGATTCCCTCCTCTCTTCAGTGAAAATGAGATGTCCATACTTCATGTTCTTTTCGATTGTACCGTGGTAGAAATGAGTGATTCTCCTGGATGGAGCACGGAAGTTCTCTTCCTCATCGAAGATCTGGCCCCAAGGCCTTGCCTTTTCTTGTGGACCGACATATGGTAAGTCCACATCAGGCGGGTACACCCATCCACAGTCTTTGATGAGCATGATCATTTTGGTAGACATCTCATCACCTGTCTGCAATCGAACGATCCTGAAATCAGGCACAATCAGCGTGCAACCAGACATCATCTCTTTTCCTTCCAACCATTTAGCAAGAGAGGTGTCAGTGACTGCTTTGATGATACTGTAGGAACCATCCAACAGCTGCATCACCCAAACAGTGAAGTGAATCCCAGTGTTAGGATAGCTGCGAGTTTCCCTTTCGAATGTAAGTACAGTGAAGCGTGGACGATTATCACCCCCTTCAAGAATCCGGATTGATCCATTCTTATGAACATACTTTGTCTGCACTTTTTCCTCTCCATGCAACACGAGGTCAGTCAAGAAATCAGGCGGAGCATCATCATAGCTATCAGAGTAAAGATCAGTCATCTTTGCCGTTTCCTACCAACAAATATTGACGAAAATGGGGATCTCATTTTCAGGATTCCATTGCGAGCAAGCATGGCATCTTCAAAGCAAGGAAATTAGCCACAGTTCTGGCAAGCAGAATTGGGCCACAGAACACAATCATTTCGTATGCTACTGCTGTCGGTCTATTATCTGTGCAAGCAAGGCTACCCCAATGACAATGCGAGTATGTCGCATGGGTAAGTTGAGTGTGCTCTATCGATAGCTGTTAACTCTGCCACTGTTGTCCTGTGCCTGTTCAGCATCTCTCACTCCAATCTGACAACTCTCTTTTCGACACACCATGCTAAACAGTATTAACTTCACCGGAGAAGCCGCTAAAACATGGCAGGCAAGGGCGGAACGAGCAAGAGCAGTCCTTTGGCTTTCCAACGGGATACCCCTCGCCTTCTATCTCTAAGCATAGCATGTGCTGTCGGCACTCTCATAACTGTATTCGCCATTGCGGTTTTTCCATCGATCTGCTTGCTTTGTCGAGTGAAATTGGCTTCCTGATCCTGACGACGGCCAGACCTTAGGATACATCGTTAATTGATGGACAAGGAGGCCACGCACTCTCACACTCTCACAATTTTCAGTGGTGCCGAGTACAGACCTCCAAACGGAACACAAATCTACCAACGCCAAACCTTCACTTCACTTCGCAAATAAATTACACCATGGCCCAACAAACTTTTCCAATGGAATCCTCTTCGCTGAAACAACACGCCATGAAAGGCATGACAATGAAGCGCAACACATCCGAGAGCACAATGAGCAGCAGCAGCAGCAATAACGTGAGGAATCGTGCCACCATGATCCGTCAAAAGCACGCCAACTCCCAAGAACTCAAGACAAGGATCCGATCGTACCGTCGTGTTTCGATTGAATCGGACGACAAGGGACTCCACGATGACGCCGAAGCCGTGCGAAAGTCTCTGCAAACTCTGGAGGAAGTCATGAACGCCATGAATGCTCGTACTAGCTCCGGTTCCGGACTCCGCAAGGCCGTCTCGATCGGTTCCATGGCCGTGTTGCATCAAAGTCAAAGCAGTAACAGCATCAGCAACAGCAAACCTAGCAGCAGCAAAAGCATCGAGAGACGCCGAGTCGAAGGATCCAGTCGGTTCTTGCCGCCAAGCCATTGGCTGCTCACACCAGACAAAAATACAACATGGACAAGTACATGGATACCGCGTCCAAACGCAACGCAACCTTTCCCATCAAAAAGAAGAAGAACCCAGCAGTGCAGCCCCACGTAGAACAACAGCAAGTCCTCGCCATGGCCACCTGTCTCCCTGTGTTCACTTCCGTCCAAACAAAAAACGCAGTCTTTCCCCGTCAAGACCACTAGAGCGGTTCCAGGCGACAAAGATCGGGGATCTGGGATTCCGCGCAGATGCGTGCTTGGGTGGCACAAGGCATAGTCACCTTGGTGCGCACCCTGCGACGTCTCGAACCTAAGCCAGCAAGACGTACCAATATCAATATCAATCGCATGACATTGGCCACTGTCAGGGCGTTAGAGGAGAGTAATGACTAGCCCCCCCAAGTTAATTTATAATTTTTGCCAGCTCTCCATAAACCCAGCCAGTCTTGACCAACCACCGTCTAGCTAGCTACGGTGAGGTAGGAACAAACCTGGTGCGACGGCAGGTCGGCTCTCTGTCTGGGGAAATGTTCAGAACAGGGATGCCTATAGAATTTGGCACGCAAAAACAGTTTCAACCAATGGCTTCTTCGCTCGACATGCAAAAAAATACGAACCCCCAAAAACCACTGGGTACAAACCCGGACCGGACTGTACAGTACCACAATTTTAACAACTACAGTACCAACAATTCAAAAGCAAGTGTTTAATTTAAAAATGCTCGCAGCAACAGATCTTCAACACAAACCATTGCTATACGCCTCAGCTAAGAACACATACCACCTAGCTACGTCATCCACCCACCCCACACATTCTATTTGCAGAGCCGCCGATGGTGGTCAGATGGCATCATCTCGTTTTTTACAACCAAACGTTCTAAGTGTTACCAATGGGCGTTGATGTGTTTTCCACTCCATATTTGGCAGCCCCCCTGCTCACAACTTTTAAAGTAGCCCACAGGGAAGGGTTGATAAGGCGGGCCAGCACAGCAGTGAACAAAACAATACCTCAAGACTGGACATCAGACACAAAAATATATAACCATCATCACAAAAAAGCCCCGCCGCGAACAAACAAAAACAGCCCCGATTTTTTGGGGAGGAGGGAGGAGCAAAAAACGAGAACACGCCTTCGTTAGATCTGCCCCCAATGGCCGGCGAAGTACTCGTATGGAAAATATGCAAAGCCTTGCGCGCGGAACAACTATAAATAAGTTGCAGTATTCCGCTTATGTTCGGGCCTTACCTCTTAAAAGGAACACTCATCCCCCACTTTTTAGTTTGGTTTTGGATGTACCACACCCCCCCCTTTGGTTTTTTCCACAGACTGAGAGCCCCATCTGGGTAACATAATGACGTGTTGTTTTGTGGAAAATTTGAATCGCCCAATCGCACGATACGAACAAACCAATTATGAAGCCTCCTCGCCCCATACAACACAGAGATGGTGAGATAAACAAAACATACCGCCCCTATGTGGAAAAGTAATAACAAGAAGATTGGTGAATATTAATTGTGTCCCCGCTCGCACGCTCTGAGAGAGTATTGCCGAGATAATAGTATATGACTTGCGCGCGTCCGGAAGGCCTTCTCTCATAGTGTGGAAGAGCGGCTTTCTCGGCTTTTGAATTGTTGGTCCTCCCCCCCGTCCACCTCTTTCCCGGTGGATTTATAAGGCACTCCTGTCTTTATCGTGTTCCATGGAAAAGACCGGGTATCCCTAGGTGTGGTGGGTGATTTGCATTTGCCAATTCTTCCATTGGGGTATAAAGAGAAGAGCTCGAGATTGGCCGAACTCGTTGTGGGCGGATATTTTCATATATGTGGAACAATCCTTATGATTGTGCCACCCATCAGAGGAACCCTTGCGTCGCACCCAGCGTGTTCGCGGACTATACCCCCATGTTTTTTTGAAAAGAGAGTAGCACCGCATAGAACGGCGTGGGGCTCAAGACTGCTGGTTTTAATGGATTGGATGTCTGAAAAAATTCATAAATTACTTAATAGTATTACGTCTGCCTATAACGTACATGCACACCAGGTCGAATGCATATGATCTGAATTAGGTAGACCCTGCGCCAATTCCACATGGGAGACCCCCCCTCCCCGCGAAAGGCGAAAAAAGAAGTTTCGCCTGAGTTGGAAGCCCTGGGCTGTGTTAAGGTCGCGGGTGGAGAGAATCCCCCATGTATTGGCGGGAGGCCCGTTTGTCGTCTGTGTGTGGGAGACCGCTCGCTAGAAAGAGGCAGTCGCACGCAGAGACACCCGCCACTTTTGTGCTAATATTAAGTTGAGGTTGGACGCCGCGGTGATAGAGCATGAGTTTCGCCACACGGGCGAGCAATGGCAGACATTGGACCGCACCCTTGCACTCGCTTGGTTCTTACGTGATGCTGCCATACCTGTTCATGGAGGAGTTTTCGTCTCTTTAATGTTGGAGTGGGAAGAGTCCTCGCCGTTGCGTTTTTGACGGCGGGTGATCCTTGGTGAGGCGGGTGTTCCATATGTTTGTTAGGTATGTTGTTCTGCCGCCTGCCCTCGGGCCACGCCGCCCCAAAGGGCAAAATTTCCTCCCAAAAATCCCAAATGGGCAGTTGGTCCGGGGCGAGAGAGGGGGTCACCCCGGAAAGTCCTGGTTCGACTAAGAGGGGCGGGGATACGACTGCTTTTAGCTGCTGCATAAGATTCTCTGCCTCGCCTCTGGGCTGGCATCCGTTCTTGGTTGACGAATGGGCTCGTGACTGTGTGATGCAACTACTGTGCCTATGGGGCACCGGAGTCGACGGCAGAAGAACCTGGGCGGACGTCCGGAACGAGCTCACGCCTCACGACCCACTCTCGGTGGGCCGCGTTGCATGCAAAGGAATATCTCACATCGAAGTTATGAGAGAGTATAATTCGCCAAGTTTGGGGCTTCGCGCCTCAAAGACTCGCTGCAGCCTCCCCCAGGGTGGGGTGGTCCCGATTTCTATATTCGAAACACGAACGTTCGTATCGGATTCTCTTTGGTCTCTATCGCGTGCTCTTGAGGGAGTTGTCGGCGTGCTCTTTGACACGAGAAGAGATCACGGAGAAGCACTTGGAGAGAATTACTCCACGTCTATATAGAGGAGCCATAAAGACACTGCGACGTCTCATCCCGCTGGCTCTTCTGGATGTGTTGCTGCTTCATTGGTTCATGTTCTTGTCTATTGGAGTGGGGTGTGTTTACTCGAGAGATGTATTTCCATCTGGGACAAAAGTTTGTAATAGGAACACAGTGGTTGTCTATACAAAAGGATGTAAAAAATATGTGTGCACCAGAGGAAGTGTGAAGTCGATATTCGCCCTCTTGCGACGTTGAGAGTAAGATTTAATTGATAAGTTAACACGTATAAACGGAGGCCTCCCCCTCGTAAACTATCGAGCACACAATACACGAAATGTGACGAGCTGTCGAATGAGTGGGTTCGCGTCACGCCAACATCCCCTTTTTGGTATACCTACTGCCGAATGTTACAGAATAGACTTTTATTCTTTTGGAGAGAGAACTAGGACGAAGAGATACAGAACCAGAGTGTGCAGGAAGGCCACCACCCTTCTCCACCCCTGATCCAAAGCCAAGCAGAAGCTACGGATAGGGAGACAGTATGGCCGAATACAGTATGACAAGTGCCCCACTCAGAGGCGACACTGGCTACTGGTCCAGGAGAGATAGAAGGGCGACGGGGTAGCCCGTTGAAAGGCCACCACGGACTGCTCTTGGGCTCGAGTTCACCAAACCAATATGATCTCTGCCATGTTTGTAGGGGGCGTCTTTTCTCTGTGAATGTTATATTATCTTTTTAGCAGGTGTAGGTTTGTTATAGTATGTAGTTGTCTAAGATTTTTGTGGTAGTGAGCAGGATCCCTCGCAAACAGATGGACACAGGGAACCAGGTGGCAGGAGACCCAATTATGGGCCACAATTCCTTTTTTGCCAATTCCCGCCCCTTTCACAGATTATCGATAGGAGGCACACTCAACTTACCCAGCCGACATACTCGATTGTCATTGGGGGTGCCTGCTTGCCAGATAATAGAACCGACAGCAGTCAGCATAACGAAAATTGTTGTTTGTTCTTCTGTTTGCCCCTTTCTGCTTGCCAGAACTGGTGGCTATTTCGCTGCTTTTGGAGATCGCCATGCTGCTCGCAATGGACATCACGTGAAAACGTGAGCATACGCGATATGTTCCCTGAAACCAGTATGTTGGTTGGTAAGGAAAAACGAAGCAAGATGACGAACGTGAAGCCCTTGAAGCCAGGATGACATTGTTAATCTCGTCGCTATCACCCGGGACACACACCTTTTTCTTTCTTTTCTCATGGAGGTTGGGGATGAATTTGGCGCTCCCCACATGCATTTCACATTGACTGACCTCGCGTCCGGGCATGGAAGGAACTTATTTTTTGCAGCCTGCACGAACAAAGAATATATCACATATAAGAGTATTATGGATCGGTGGGATTCAAATAGTGCCATGAAAGGGGCCTGACCTCACCTCCGTCCATTCTGCTTTCTCTGTACCCCTCCACTGAAGCAGCCTATGAAGAGGGTACTGTGGGGCATACTATCCTAAACTGGATCACTTATCAGAGCGTGTTTATATGAGGGTAGAACTCAGCTGTCTCGGATGGTTCTACAGTATCTCAAGCAGTCACTGCACACACTCTCTCTGCCTAAATGGGTTGCTGAAGTTTTTGTAAGGAGAGATACCTGCTAGCTTGCCGTCTGCACGCTGCATCTCGTGACACTGAAAATATCGGTACTCCGAGGTTTCCTTGGTATTTTGCTGACAGTGTTCGATCGACTCAGCTCGCTCCACAAGGGCCACCTGCATCATTCCTTTGCCCCCCAATGCAAAAGACTCGGGGTCGGGTTGTTGTGTGTTACCCTCGTCGGGATTGTAGGAACTATATCCCATATTGTCGGTCCACAAGAAAGGCAAGGCCTTGGGCCGATCTTCGATGAGGAAGGAAACTTCCGTGCTCATAGAGAGGGATCCCCTCCATCCTTCCCTACCACCCGCCTGGAATATCGTAAAGGAACAGTAGAAAGCTACTGGACATCTCATTTTCTCGACGAGTAGCAGC